CGACAAGTGGCGGTCGCTCGGTCAGTATAGTTTGCTTGCGGACTAAAGCCACAAAGTTTGTTTATATTTGTATTTTAGTTATGATTCACATATCTCAAGAGTGTCAAGAACAGATAGCATGGGAATATAGAATTCAGGAAAGCAGCACACCTATTATATTCAAAGATAAACTAACTAAATTAAGAATTTAATATGTAAAACTTACATTTATTTCAGCAGACACCAGATGGACCAAACCATTTTACTTCATACAAGGTGCAGACTTGCAAATGGGGATGATTCAAAGTTACGTGGAAAAGAACCCAGTACCTGGGTGGAAGAAAGAAATAGAATTAGGAGAGAGAGCAGTTGCTATAGTGAATCAGATGAGGCCAAAACCCAAGTTTTTTGTGATTTGTGGAGACTTATGCCATGCTTTTCCTGGTAAGAACTTTATGAATATTTTATTCAGTTGGTATTCATTTTGGAATTATAAGAAAATAATTATAAAATGCCACATATATGTGGACTCACAGGCATTTTATTTGAATGGAGAGTAGGCATTGATGTTATCTATTTATATTTCTGTTTCAGATCAACAGCCAGAAATTCGTAAGAAGCAGGAAACAGACTTCAAGAAGATTTTTGAAAAGCTGGATCCAGAAATACCACTTATTTGTTTGTGTGGTAACCATGATGTAGGCGACACTCCAACTACAGAAACAATTGATTTGTTAGTTTCTCTTTTAGCTTCACAAACACTATAACCATTGATATTATAGGGCATTTGAAAAATCATTAAACTCATGTTGTATATATATTGTGACATGTAGACACATTGCTAGGGAATGAGTTGACAAATACGTTTCTGTAGAGATGGATTCTTGGAAACCAAGACGTTTCCTTGGATTGAAAATGAAAGGTGTTTTCTGTTTGTCTGTCCTAAAATTATGTAGCAGGAGTAGTATATCAGATCAGGGCAGAATTGAGTCGTAGATCAGATCCAATTAGAGAGAGAGATACCAGAATGGACGTAGATCAGAATGGAGCCAGATGTAAGCAGTCATTTCTTGTGAATTTTTTTAAGTTATTGTGATTATGAATGATTGTGGAGGAGTGATTAATAAATCCAATTGTCAATCCAAACCCCATTAGGTTAGTGAAGCCCATAAATACGTTATGGTATATATGTATATTTACTTATTTTAATTTCTTCCTTTGGATTGCCTTTTCTTTGCTTCGACATGATTATTATTATGATGCATGCTGCTGCCTCTGTTCCTAGTTCTCAGATAGATGCAGTTCCATGCTAAAATTGCCTTTGCCTCACTGCATACTGAACATTTTTATGGCTATTACAGACAGTGATATCATGTACTTAACTTTGCATTAAGGATGTATAGAATTATATTTTCAGTTTGAGATGAAAATTTGGGAGAATTTTAAGAATTGAGACAATGACATTTTTCTTTACTAGAACAGTCACAATTTATAACACAGACACTTGTTCATAATGCATTAAAATGTTCCGCTTATTTCTTCTATGATATCTTTTTTTTTTTCGGTGAAAAGTGTTCATAAATCTTTGTATTAAAAAAAATCAGTTCTTATATTTTTTCACCAAGGGTAGAAAGAGGGGCAAGGAGATAGTTTTTTGTTTACAAGTGGACATATGGTTTACAGGTTACTTTAAAATTGAAAGTAATAATTTGTAGCTGTAACCACTTTCACAGGAGTCTGATGGTCCTGTCTATAATAAGGATAATAATACTGTAATACTTTTAAAATTCTCTTGATAATCTCTTAAGGTTGGCTTGCATTTTGATTTACATATTGTATCTAATTTTATTATTTATCTGGTTTGATAGTGTATGTTATATTTTAATTATAGGTTAATCATGTCAAGAGTGATTTTTTTTTCCTTGGCACTACAGCCCCAGTGGGCGTAGGCCTACCTCCATGAACTTCTCCGTTAACTTCGGGAGTGACTATTTATTGATGACAAATTCTAATCCTTTAGGCATTTGGGCAAAAGGATTTCAAGAATGATGTATTTTATGATGTGACTTGTTCAAGTGTTACTGTTTTAGCAATTATGAATGCCAAATAGAACGAATGACTGAATGATTGAATGACATTGAACAATATTTCAATATGGTTCTTGACAGGTACAGGTCCTCATTTGGCGATGACTTTTTTTCCTTCTGGTATGGAGGTGTGCGATTCTTAGCACTAAACTCACAGTATTTTGAAGATGCCTCAAAGGTACCAGAACTGGCGCAGAAACATGAAAAATGGCTGAATGAAGAATTGCAGCTTGCGAAACAGGAAGAGTCACGCGTAATTGTATTTCAGCATATCCCTTGGTTCCTGAGTGATCCTGATGAAGAGACCAACTACTTTTCCATAAAACCAAATATTCGAAAAGTCTGGTTGGAGAAGTTCAAGAATTCGGGTAAAAGACTTATCAAGTAACTCATTGCCTGAATATTATGTTATTTGATTNAAGTGTGTTACTGAGGTTATTTATGGACATTTTTAAAGTTAAACCGAAGACCTATCAGTAAATTAAGCAGATGGAGTGTGTATACATTTTTTTGGGCCCCTTTGTATTTAAGATAAGTTGGCACTAACTTTGCCGACAAGCGGCGGTTGTTCGGTCGGTATAGTTTGTTTCTGGACTAAAAGCCATGGAGTTTATTTTAGTTTGTATTCAAGATCCCTTTTCATGATATCTTACCATTTATACCTGGGATCTCTGAAGTTGTCTCACCTTGTGAAGTGACAAATAATATAAATACTTCATAAATTCAGGTTGTATGATAGTCACAGTGACTTTTTAATATTTGCTAATATTAACATAAAACAGCCTCTGTGACTGCTCTGTAATCTTCAGGCATTAAATATAGAGGAAGCTTCAGAGATCTAGGTATGAATGTTAAGATGGCATGGTATGGTATTTTTTAATATGGTTCTGGGAAACTGGCTTTGAAAAGGTTAATATAGCTGTTTTCTATTTTATATTCTTTATTAACTAATGAAGCTTTCATTTATGTGTGCATGAATGAGCATAACATAATGAAATATTTTGAAGAGTAGTACCAGTTTGAGACTGGAAGTATACATCATACTGTAAATCTTATAATGTTGTTTCAGAGAAGAGAGTTGTACCTCAGATATTAACTCTTTACTGTGCCATTGAAAATCACTGTATCGTGTCGAGCCATTTAATTTAAACATCATTTATGTTTTAATACATTCAGTGTGGCAAGATCCTTTTGGATGTGATGCCGTGTCACTTTTATATGCACCGATCTGCCAGACTACATGGGGTTGTCCCAGAAGAATGTAATCTTAATGTTTGCTGATATGAGGACTTCAGAAATTACTTGCATCAGTTACTGCTGCATTAGGCACAATAAAGTATATATTTTATTGAGAAAATTATAGAGAATTGTGACTGTTATAAATTTACTATGCCCTACTTCTTGCAACCACCACATTGACATTTGTATGTTGTTAGGGGTGGTACATGTGTTTGCTGGCCATTTACATCGCAATGCAGGTGGTTCCTACAAAGGGATGCCAGTTACTGTTACAACTGCCATGGGAGCACAGTTGGGTGATGATATGCCTGGCCTTCGTATTGTCAGAGTGTTGCAGAAGGAAGTTGAGCAGGTCTTCTATTCTCTGGACGAACTCCCCACAGTGATTGATCTGTAGATAACACCTAGTACTTGGTAAGTGTCATTACCTCAACACCTTTTGGGAACCCATTTGTTTGAAAACTGATGTTGGCTTCAGTCCTGTCATTGCCATCAAATAATAGCAACTGTGGTGGCAGCCATTATTATTATTACTACTACTACTACTACTACTACTACTGTTGTTGTTAAACTTTTCATTTATGACAGGTTTTAATGAAACTTGGTATGGACAGCGTGCCATTGGAGGCCACCCAACATTTATACCTTTTCAGTTCTCTGTTCAGTATACTGAAGGAGCTAGGATAGCTGGCGGTATAGTAGTGGGCTACAGGGTTAGATTCCCAGCAGGGGCAAGAACGTTTTCTTATTCTCCGTGGCTTCCAGACAGGTTTTTGGGCCCACCAATCCTCCTGTCCAGTGGATACTTGGGGCTGAAGTGGCCGGGGCATGAAGCTGACCACTCATCCCCATCTAGTGCCGAGGTTGAGAGTGGTGGAGCTATGCCTCCACTCCCCCTACGTATTCATGGCATGATGCTTAATTAAATACATGGACTACACCTTCTTTTTAACCTTCACTCAGTATGGTGACTAGGCTATGGGCTGGATGACTGGAGAGTTAGCGTTCTCTTTGCCACAGCATCCAGACTGGCTTTGGCCCCATAATGGGCAGTGAGCAGTGTGGACAACTTAAACTGTATCTAATGCCAGGGGTTAAGAAAGACTAAAGCTATCCCTCCACTTCCCCATGAATTCATTCTATGGTTGTTGAGTAAGCACAGAAATAACATTACTTTTTACCATCAGTAGTGGCTCTGTCAACTTGTGGGGCAGAAACAGTATCGTTTAATGCAAGGTCTTCAAAGAATCATCATCATCATCAGTAATCTGTCAGATGAAAGGTCCACAGTCTCTTCCAAAACAATTCCTCCACTTAATGCGATCTAGAGCTTTCTCCTTCAAATGACAGTATCCTCTTCTGTCCCCAAGGTCATCCAGCATCATCTTACATCTTCTTCCTTGTCTTCTTTTCACTTCTATCCGCCCCTCTATCTTTCCTTCAATAATATGCGATTTTAATTAAGGTTATGTCCTGTGGAATGTAAAATTTTTATTTGGCTTTCTGAATGTTAACCAAAGATAATGAACTATTTGAGTTTTGTGAAAGTTACACCTACAGATTATGTCAGAAAACTTTTTATATATGTTGAAAATTATGTACACAGTGGCGCAGAACTTTGAGTTTCTACTTGACAGCTTCCAAGCAATAGCAGAAGTCATGCACAAAGGAGGTGACTGAATTGTATATTTATTAATTTTTAATTCCCGATGATCTTTACATATAGACAGAAGTGATATAGAAGAAAATGAAGTGTCAGAACTGATATTTGCATTGCTGTTATCGGTATCTGTGCTTAAGGATCTACTGGATTGGGAATTAAAGTACAGAGTATGCTGTCTTTAGGACAAGGTCTTTGGAAATAACTGATTGGCAGAACAGGGGACATAAACATAATGCAACCAGCCATGCATGGTGTAAGCACTTTTATTATACAATTACAGCTGGCCAAACAATACCATAAATTGGCACATAAATCTCTGTAAAGATATTACATTCTACTAATATTAAACCATGAAATAGTTATATGAAAATACTGTTTATGATGTGAATAAATAATATACCATTTTACATTGCACCAGAGTACTGGTCTCATAGCTTCAGTAGTTGTTACCTAACCCACAGTGGGTACATCACTAATATAACCATAACAAAAGGTCCTTTAACCTGGAGGAAAGTACAGTTCCACTTATAGTTCATGATAACATCAGTTGCCTAGTTAAACAATAATATCTCTTGGTTATGACCGTCAACACCACAATAAAGAGGAGCATCTCGGATGAAGACAAAAACAGATACTTATTTAATATAAGCATGGATTTCTTGCCTGATGTTTTGACCTATGATTTAGATCATCATCAGGCATGTTCTGTGATCTGTAACCCAAGATATTAAAGTTAATTGATGCATATAGCATCAACCAATGCATACCGATTTATTGTTGTGTTGACGGTCATAAGCTATTATACACACAACAGGATACAATTTATAAAGTTTAAACAATAATGTATATAAGTTTCACAGTACCAGCTTTGCAACTATTAACAGAAGTTAATAACTGAAAATTCCATAATACTTAATATCTCCCTTTTCTTCATTCTATATCTGAGCTTCATGAGGAATTGTACATTTTTGTTCTAATGTAACATGTACTTCTTTGGTTATAGAGCTTCAAAATTATACCTTTAATCAATAAATGAACATAGTGAAATACAATGGAAGACACGATAAAATGTTATTCGGAGAGACATCTATATCTGTGATAATGTTGCATTTTAAGTTACAGAGAACATCAAAGGTGTGTCATATGCCCTCTTCCTTATGATACATTATATTGGTCACATTTACCTGAGGTACTATCTATCTGTGCTTTATGTGGGCAACTCCTTGCTATTATACATACCCACATGGAATGTCTGTTCCATGATAGAATGCTGTAACTACCATCTTCATGGCACTCTGTGTGACATCCTCGGAAACAATCGTCACAGTGTGACTTATGTTCTGACATTCAAAACTTTGTGTGCTTCTTCAAATCCATATAAACCCTGAAGATTGAGGCAGCAGATTCTTCCAAAATGTTGGGATCTTTCTACCAGACTATACGGTATCACATCCTCAAAGAAAATCGTTATCTAAACTAATTGTGAGTCTTTAACTGCAGTAATTTAATATTGTACCCAAATATCTATCGACCATTTGTAATTGTATAAAGCATATTTATAAAGCAATAGAAAAAGGAGATGCAACAAAGCCAAGAACATTCCTGGTTATATATTCCACTTCAGGGATCCAAAGTCGATAATCTCATTGTTAGATTATCTCAGTTTAAGGTCTGCCTCAAATCACTGCTTCCATCAGAAAACTTATGTGGGGTTTTCACTGTATACAATGTGATAATGGCAGAGAAAGCACTGTCATCTAGGTGAAGAATGGATACTTCTATGGGTAATAAATAAAACATAAATGGATGAAAAGATATTAACTATATCATAAACATTGTAAAATCTCAGAATGAACATATAAAGTAATGTAACATCTTAATGTAATACTGTAGCGTCTACAGCCGTTGGTATGCAATAACTGCGAGACAGGAAAATAAACAATGCTGTTACACAACCTGTTTCTGGGCAACAGTTAGGGTGAACACATTTGTATAGCAATGAATAAACACGCAGCAATAGAAGAACGGTGTTTTGTATGTGGTCCATGCCAAGAAGTTATAACCAGGACAGCTGGCGGTGGTCAAGCTTACAACCGTTCAAAGGACTAAGCTGTCGTTGTAGCATAAGATATAAAAGTTAGGCATGATCTGCTCTGTAAAGCCTGTACTGACAGAGGACTTCTGTGTGTTGTGCAAAAGGAAGAATTTTCAATAACATGTTATATGTGTGAAATGTACGCTTGCTGAAAAGCCAAGTGTATTTATAAGAGACAAACCCATCTTCTTGTAGGAGAGGATGTTACATAAGGACAGTTACAACAAGAGTTCAGTTGGAAAAAATGATCTCTGGTCGTGGGCCCCAAGGGGCCTGACACCAAGACAAACTGATTGGTGGTAAACCGCCAGTCATACAGTGACTTTGACTTGAGTGAGTCAGTTTAGTTCTGCAAAGGAGGCTATGAAGAGATAGCACTGTAGTTCAGTTTTGGAGCATTAGCCATAAGCAGTGACATGACCACAGAAGCTGAAGAATCTCCATTGTTGAGATCAGTTACCAGGAATTGACTAGTGAAAGCAGACTGAAAAGACTTACTGTGTAGTGATTTGTAGTGTGGAAATCAGCAATAGCATTGTAAGAGCTTGTAGTTCCAAGTTCATTCACCAATTCAGACCCCACTGATAGTCACCTCTAACACGTGACAATATATTTCCTGGTTAGTTTTCCTCTTTGATGATGGAGACTTTTAAAATGTTTTATGTGAGTCACATGTACACAGCCTCCTTAAAGCTTACCAACTGCATCGCTCATTACTGAAGCTTGCATTGGCAGATAACAGCCTTCACACTTCCCCCTGGCTTTCATCATCTTGGGAAATAAATCATGAATTAATTCAGTAAAATATATAATGGAGATTACAGTCTTCTGGGATGTAACATGGTATGGTCTGGTAGACCATTACCAACATTTTGGGAGGGGGGGGGCTGCTGCTTCTACCTTGGAGTAGAATAAGCTGAGTGTGGGAAAATATGGCACTTTTATGACTAGGATATGGACCCTGTGCTAGTCAGTAGTAGTTAGAATAGTGAATAGAGTTTTCCAGATGCTAAGTGACAAGAGAAGGTCTTGATTCTGATCTACACTGCTTTCTTCCATGTTCAGCTTACTGTTCTCTGAGCCAGGGTAGTGTAGTCAGGATAATGACTGCCTGCAGGCTGGATGACCAAGGGGTCAGAGTTTGAGTCCCAGTAGATCAGAATTTTCTCTTCCCCATATTGTTCAGACCGGCTCTGGGGCCCACCCAGACTCCTATCAAATGGGTACTGGGGGCTTCTTCCCTGGGGGTAAAGCAGACCACTAACCTCCAGCTAGTGCCAAGGTCCCCCATACGCCTTCATGGTGTAGTGCTTAATTAGTTAAGCACAGGGAAACTTTACCTTCTTCAGCTTATTGCTCTACTCCAGAGATGGAGGAGCAGGTTGCTCTGAAACAGTGATAACAATCTACCAGACTTCATGTTGCCAGAAGACAGTATCTTCATGGTCACTGTTATGAGAACCTCTCAGCATTGGGCAGAGAATCAACTGTCTGTTACTGTAATACTAAACGATGAGGCAGAATGTATTTTGAGGGAAATAGAATAGGCATTTAAAAGCTATGAGAACATTTGTAGAACTACAATTTTAAAATTGGGTAAATTTTATTTAATAAAATTGTTTTTTTTGTATCACTTGTTTCAGTTATATTATGCAAATTTTACATGATTAAATACAGTATTGTGTATATTTGCACCAAGCAGGGAAATTGGGAAGAAGGAACATCAAAAGCTGAAATATATAAAATACTGTCACGCACATGAGTTACTATAGATGGGGTTTGGATTGGTAACTGGGTTTATTAAACTATAGCACTATATAACTATATATAACTATATAACTATAGCACTATCACACACGCTGCAGTTCACTACAGCATGCTGTAGCTTCCTTAGCTTCTGTGTTCGTGTCCTTACTGGCCTCTGACTTATCTCACAACTCACTCCACTCAATAATTCCCAGGCTGGTGGTCATCTTGCACCAACCTCTTACTTTTCTCATTGCACCTCAAGCCTTTCTTCTAATGGCAGATGGCCCTTGTTATATAGCCTCGGCACAGACCACACAGAAAACACCGCTTCCAACAGTTCTTCTATTGTTGCGTGCGCCTGTTGCAGCCATTACCTAGCAGTGGCTGCTTTTAGCTGCTTATTTCGTGATTCTCGTCTAGCAACAGGTCTACATGTCACAATATAATTTATCAGGAGTGATCATGTTGGAGAGAAGTGCTGAAAACAATGAATGTGTTTTGAAATCTCACGTTTTCAAAAATTCTTGTTGTCGAAGAGGTTCCATCTTCTGGGATGTACTACCATGTAGTCTGGTAGAAGTCCACCTATGCTTTGGAGGACTGTACTGCTTCCATCTTCAGGGTTGAAGAGTAAACCAAACAAGAAACCAGGAAGAAGGTGGTAAGCTGAAAATTGAGGCAGTAGTGTCCTCGAAGACAGTGGTGTACTTCTACCAAAGTTGACATTATTATATCACAGAAGATAGTACTATTCATAGTCACCATTGTGAGAACCTCAAATTATTCTTGTTGCTTTACCTCAGAATTTAAGTATTTCAGTTCAAGTCACAGTTGTGCTTAGAGTTGGAACTTCGCCTTCTGGAAGTGAGGCTGTTATGTGCTTGTCCCCCCACACAGCTGCTGCATCTCTGAAAAAGAATTATGGATGCCACACAATCAGTAACAGCTAAAAGTAAATTAGATCTCTGGTGTCTGGTGAAAAGGTGGGAAGGCAGCCATTTAGTCGGGTCTCTTAAACAAAAGTCATTCGACTGAGTACATGCTTCCTTATCTTTTCATCGGACATGGGAACATACGTTTTCTGAAACAACTGTGTTTTGTTCGGAATACTAATATAACATCTTTAGAATGTTCTAAAACTGGTTTACTTGATGTTACTTACTGCATGCTTTTCTCTGGCAGGGTAGTGGCCTGATGCCACAGGAATATGCCAAGAAGCACAGACCATGTACGCAGTGGCCCAAGAAGAAATGCCATTGTACCATATGCAAGCCAGAAAAAATATGCAAATGCCATCTGCAGAAAGAGGACAACAACAAAGGGCAGGTGTTGACATAGACGATCCAGGAGGGAACAACATTTTCCCATAAGGTGGGACCTATACCTGCAACAACAGATTTAATATAACTTTACTTACCACATTTGGAAATATATTCCTTCACTCAGAATTATTGGGTTTTTGGACTTTGTCCATCGTCTGGTATCCTAAAATCTAGAGAACTGCTTTTTAGAATACTGGACAGTGAACAAAATCCAAAAAATCCACTAATTCTGAGCGTCAGAACCATTTAGAATCCATGTCTTCACTTTATTTACCCCTTCAAGATCAAAGTAATCATGAACAAATAAATTCTTAAGAGGAAATCAGAACAGTCGGATCATAGCGACATTATACAGCTGGCTGTTTTCTTCTGGGCTGTGACACCTTGCAGTTTTTGGGGTGAAATGGTTAGGGTGAGGATGTGCTGCATTCTCACTGTAACCACAAGGTTCAAATTCCTATATGCTGTGATGCTGACGTGCACTTCTCTAAGTTCTGAAAGGGTATAAACCATAAAATGCACTGATATAATTTTGACGTAATGAAATGAACTGTTATACGAGTATTTCACATGTTACAAGATATATTTAGACACATAAATGAGCTATGTAGCAAAAAAATATCATAAAGTGTATATTATAATCTGTATTATATGGATTTGTTAATGGCCAGATTATTATTATTATTCAGGACATATAATCCTGCTGTAGTTGGCTGTGGTATTCACAGCTGGTACCAAGAGAAGGAACTGAGGATGTTTTTGGAACTGTTTGTGATACATGTTCTAGTAAAAGCTGAATGGAACAAAAGAAATTAAGAGGTAAAATAATGAAACAATTTTACAGATACAAAATGTTCTGTGTTCTGGACACAGTGATCAGTCACATAAGATATAAAATGTTACTGTTACTATTATGAAACAAAGATCATGTTTACCTCATATCCACACATTGAGCGAGGATCAAAGTCATTGGAAGTTGAAATGTACACATCTGAAACAGGCAAAAATATTGAAATGAAATTTGTCCTGAAAGTTATTACAGCCATTTCTTGGTGTCTAGTTTCTAGCTTAACTGTAACATGAACCATGTCCACATTGTAAGGTCCATTATGATTATTTGTTTTACCAACCAATTCCCCGTTATGGCACCACCCTCCAGTCCTTTTCAGCTTAATTTTATGGGGAAAGTATTTCCGTTATATTCATACAGATAACACAATAACACAGGTTTCATCTATAGTCAAACCTCATATTGTGTTTGTTAATCCACGAGAACTTCTAGCTGCAGAATATGGGGGTTTGTGCCATTTACTGTTAAATATTTCCTTAATCTCTAACGTCTTACTGAAACACAGACTTGCAGATGAAAAAGGATTTCACACATGGAGAACCATATAGTTCTTGGACCATTCACTGCTGACTAGGTCGAGTGTGGGGATGCCACATCAGTGCCTTTATGGTCAAGATGCTTCAGAATTCTCCAATGTAAATTGTGCAACATTTGATATTACACAAGTTTATGTGATGGAATTTTTGTTCTTGTTAAATTGTATAATTCAGTCCATTCACCTCTGTAGGCTGTGGTGTCACTACTTTTGAGTCATGTTACAGTTGTTTACTGAGATAATAGTATTACAATCATTTTTTCCCCCTTTGAGAAAATGGATGGTACCAATGTGATGAAGTGTGAAGGGAGGGGGGGGGGCAATTTTTTAAGCTTTTACAAAATATAAGCCAATAAATTTATGTTAAAGCAGAAGGTTTATCTTCATTTTATCTTCCATTATTCCAACAGTTTTTATTGCTTTCATTTCATGTGTTTTAAAAAGTATGTGCATGTATGCCACATGATTAAGTATAAATATAATTACCATTAAATACATATGAACTACCAACCTGCAAAAAACCGTAAGCGTAGGTAAAGGATCCTGGAAGGTATGCACCATTGACGATAGTTCCCCAAGCAAATATGATCCCTGTGTGACCTTCGATCACTTCCCCAATGGACCACGGGCCTTGAAGATTGAGGAGAGGGAAACAAAATTGATATAAATTTCAGTTTAGAGTGTTATTATCAGCACTTTCTCACCACCAAGATTAACAAGTGAAATTCACACAGAACTAAATTTCATAAAAATGCAACAAATAGGCCATATCACGAAGATGAATGTGACTTCATGTAGTCTTGCAGACCGTTACCAATCTTTTGGAGGAATCTGATGGAGGCAACAGATTCATCTAAAACACTGGTAACAATCTGTCAGACTAGATGGTTATCACACTCCAGAAGATATAACTTCAAAATTTGATTGTGCCATATCTGAGGTGGTTAGATGCCAGCTTCCCACTGCAGCAGCCTGGGCTCAAACCCAGGTCATGTGAGATCTGTGGGGGATAAAATGGCGCTGGACAGATTTTCTGCGAGTACTTCAGTCTCCCCTGCCAGTTCCCATTCCACCAATATATATATATATATATGTGTGTGTGTGTGTGTGGTATATGAGTAACGTGATGTATAATTAGGAACTTACCTACTGTTAGGTACAGTGCATACAGCACCAAGGGATAAAACACCCGGTCAACTGTTGATAAAATCCAGAGTTTGCGAATCCAGTTTTGGAAGAAGCAGATAGACACTCTAGGCCTGTAGTGCTTACGAGCTGAAATATGCCCCCCCCCACAAAAAGGGGGGGAGGGGGAACAGATTACTGAGGTGTCTTTGGGAAACAGGAATAATGAAAACTGAACCACCATTTTACAGCTAATAATGATGACCTGCCACAACAATGGAAATCAGTACCCTCATGTACATGGTAGTTGGTTTCTCAAGAATACATAAATCAGGAATCTCTGCTTTAAAAATGAGGTTCCATTCCTGAACTTGTATTTTTGTATTGTATTTGTTACTGTGGTTACTTCCTCCCCTTCCCTCATACGGTAATACGTACCTCTGACCAGTCTATGAAGATACTTCAGTATACAGAGTGGCAAGACACAAAGCGTGAGCATCGTGCCAAAGAGACATTGGAACTGGAAAAATAATAAACACATTATAGAATTACTTTACTTACTTACTTACTTACTTTTGGTTCTCCACTCATGTAACCCTATAGAAAATAACTGTCGATTTTATTGTCAGATGAATAAATGTACTGGAGAAAGAAAAGAAGTTGCTGAAATGAAACATACCAGAAATATGTGACATGTGGTAGCATAGTTGGTTGTGGCACTATGCTACAAGCTGGAAGGTCACAGGATCGAATCCGGACAAGGTCATTGGAGTTTTTCAATTTACCTAATCCATCCAGCTACACCTCAGTCTCTAACAGAAATGAGTACCAGGATTCTTCCTGGGGGTAAAGGGCGGCCAGCGCGTAAGTCTCACAACCTCATCGCCATCCAAGAGCTGATTGTCTAGAGAAAATGTGGGAGCCTCAACATCTCACAACTGTATGGGCCTCCACAGCCTGTTACAGGGATACCTTTACTTTTACTTTTACCAGAAATATTCCACAGAAAGACCAAAAATGTAGTAGAAAAAAAGAGGTAAGAACAGTGTAAAATGAGGACAGAAGAGATTACCAAGAAACTGAAGAATAAAGATATACAGAGGAGCCCAAAAATATGCATACACACCATTCCACTGCCATTCGATAAGGTGGCTCTGGCATTCATGTGACTGGCACCATCTTTTCAGAGATTATCACACTACATATCATACATTACATTTCAGTTCAACTTTGAACATATCCATAGATAACCTCTATTAAAATGTGGGAAATGTCTGATTGTTAGAGGAACTGCTTCAAATAAGAACTTATAGGCTGATGATGAGGATGAAATCTACCAGTAACTACATGACTAAATTGAAGACGATGAAGAAAGCAGTCTTCTGGGATTTGGCACCGTGTATATGTGGTGTTAACCGACGTTTCGGAGGAACGTATCGCCCCCATCTTCAGGGTAGAAGAAAAAGTATAAGAAATCTGCAAGCGACAACACCGTGAGAAACGGTAAAGCGGTCTGCTTGTTGTTGTCGCTTGCAGATTTCTTATACTTTTTCTTCTACCCTGAAGATGGGGGCGATACGTTCCTCCGAAACGTCGGTTAACACCACATATACACGGTGCCAAATCCCAGAAGACTGCTTTCTCCATAGTCACCGCCGTGAAAGCCTCAAATCTTACATAAATTGAAGACGTTTATCCTATGCGACTGTGAGGCCATAGCTTATTTAAGATTTCATCACCTGAGTAAGTTCTTCATGGAACCAAGTGACTTATGACACCCCCATAAATAAAGTCCTACATTTCATTCAAAGTGTAGGATTAATAAAGGGTTAATCCAAAGGGAAGCACAATAGATCACTGAAGGTCATGGTGCAAGGGCTGGATTTTATGGCCCACCCCTTACACATGTACATACACATACAAATTGAAGACATGTGGAATGAACAGGGTGCTTTCATAGCACAGTATGAAGTGAATGAAGTTACAGTAGGTCAAAGTATAGCTTTGATAGATTTTCTTAAGGCTAGAGAGAATAAGAAATGAAAAAACTGGAATTTTAACATAAATACCTTTACAGTAAATTGATACATAACAGAATAAAATGTATATGTTTAAGAATTAATGAAGAGGATATTGCAGAGAAGGTTTTCAAGATGAAATTGAAAGGACACTGGTCAGAGGAAGAGAGAGATCAAGACAGGAACTGGTTAGGCAAGATAAAAGGAAGGACATAGGAAGAATTGAGGAGGAACTTTGGTTGTCAGATGACCCACAAGAAATGGAGATGTCAAAGGAAGAAGAAGGGAATGGTGAACCAAGAAATTGCATACATCATGGAAAGTGTCCAATTGGAAGACCAACACAAGTGGAATAATATTAATTAAGACAAAACTTGGCGAAACTGGCTGTGAGGATGGGAGAATCATAGAGCTGGTTCAGGACCATGTCCAGCAGCAGATTGTTGGGTGAAGTATCTTCAGATTGCACTTCTGCATGTTAATCTATTCAGCAATATATGTATACTAGGAATGCTTTATCATCACAACTACGGTATTTAAATATGAAAACAAATCTACGTTATGCTCTGATTTTCATGAATTACTGCTGAGATTATGCACTTTTCAGAACAGAAAATAAATCAGGGTATTGCTGTATGATGATTACATGAAATCGTTATTTTGAGAGTACCATATTTTGTGCAGAATAATATATTTGTTCTTTGCTGAACATTTTCTGAAATCTTCATGTCTTACAGTCCAAAGTTACAGCACATCTTTCTGAAACTTTTCCCTCAGAAATCTGAGTGTCTTATACTCCATTGCCTCTTGGTTAGCAAAATGCAGTAAATATCTGTCACTAAACTGACCAGTCTGAGAGGAATGATGGTGCTCCCACTATTAACAAATGCCAAATAATAACCAAACATGGAAGTGACAAAGCCACTCAGTGTGGAGTATTGAGTTGTCAGATTTCTTACCACTAAACTGATGTTTGACATAAGAGCAAGTCTTGGAAGTAGTCGGAAACTCATTCGAGAACCATCCAAGGAGAAAGGCTGTGTGGTGAGTTTCTCTCGCCCCGCCTCATCCTTTATTAGAACCTGCACAATAAGAAAGAGTCATCAGTCTTTTGTTATCCATGATATGTACTGGCCGTCTTCGTGCACACAATCTCACTTGTCACTTCACTACATGTTTCAGCATCACTGTGCCATCCTCAGGTGTGTTATTTACATTAAACTATTGCACTGTTCGTCATCATGTGTCGTTTATAAAATGATTTAAAATGTAAATTCTTCATGTACTATAATAAAATTTATATATATTAAAATTTGTTAAGATTTATCATCTTATACGTCTTATTTCAAACTCGTGTATTATATCATTCTTCCGCTATGGGAGTCATTCTTCCTATATTTTGTGTATACTGTGTCTTGTGATGTGTTCTTCTTTTCTGGCTGCGTGTGGTCTTTTGTTATGTAGAACAGCATTAGAGGTAATCACTGTAGCGCGGTAGATGTCCTGACATTCATGAGTAATATGGGTCTTAGTGTACTCTGCCGTCTGGACTTCATCCGGTATATTAAAACAAGAACACAGAGTCTCAGGAGCCGGATGTGCTCCCATCAGCTAAGGCATACCTACTGAGATAGATCGGTCAGATAAAGCTAATCCCAGTGGTCGGGACAGGAGCAGATCCATCACCTGAAATTTGTTTTAAGAATACTGGAAGCTGGATAAAGCACAGTGTAATCAATTATCATGAGAACCCTTAAAAACTGGATTAGACCTTGGCAAGTCTATGATGCACTTCATTTAATTTTAATAGCCGAACTTTCACACTGAAACATCTATGTTCATGTTATTTTAATAACCCATTTTTTTAGATGTTTTATGACAGGTGCCTGTAGAGCATGTTATCATTTTATTATTTTCATTGGTTGCATCCTGTTGAGTCTCAGACATATATAATATGTAAGAACTATGCTATCGTCAACACAAAAAATATTTCAATATTACAACATGTCGCAGTAAATAAAGATCTACATGTAATATTGTAATATTTGTTGTGTTGATGGTTGCATAGTTCCTACATATTATATATATCATTTTATTACTTTTATCACATGGCAAGACTCAAAATAAAACAGTTTTAATCTCAGGCCCTCCTTCAGTGTAGAATGCTGAGCACGACTCATCATGATATAGTCGCCATTAAAGCTTGCAGCTTTATCTACAAGGCTCCTTCAGGCAAAATGTAATAGCTTCACATATGTTCGCTAGACAGGAGGCAGAGTGAGGGTGTAGTATGCAAGCACTGCTTGGCACTCGCCGCCAGGTGGCGACTATGTCATTATGAGCAGTGCTCTTCAGTCCACACTAAGGGGTTAACAGTGTGACATTTACATAGTAATATTATAAGATATTTGAGTATGGATTCATGTATGAAATGTCGGCTAGTAACAGTTGATGTGCTTCTAAATCCATATACATTATATATTCGGTGTTTTATTATTAAGAACAGTCAGGTGAAATCTTACATGTATTTCATGAATACCCCTTGCATACAGGTTGGGGTTCCAGGGATGCACATATAAAGGGCCCAAAATATGTGTACAATTCTGCCAAATACTGTCATCCACCTTCACTTGAACACTCTCAATAGGTGACAGAGAAAAGCCTAAAATCCTGTGGAAACAAATCAGGAGTCATGCTTTAATAATATTACGTCATTTAGAACATGTGAACAGTTATTCACTAAATTAAAATTCATAATATTTGGGGAAAATAATATATTGCCTCTATCTGTCTCTTGATTGGGTCTACTAACAACATTCATTATATACCAGATTCCACTAAATATGGGAACACTAGATCACAGTCTCACTGTACTACAATGCAACTTTCAATTTGAAGATATAGACTGTTGAAACTGTTTCAGAATCACCTCAAATGGTAGGATTTTGTATGATCAGTATTAAAGACTCAATTTCCATTAACAGAATGTAAGATTGTTATATTTTAGCGTCCTGTTGCACTGATTTAAGTTCATGATTTGTTTAATCCGTCTTGCAGTGCGTACACTTATCTATCTTCTTCTCTCACTCTCTCACATACCCAGCAGACCCAACAGCATAACGCACGCAGTCGCGAGAACAAGACGCAACAGAAACACAATACACACGATAGGGAAGAAGAGCTCCAACAGAGTAGGATGAGCATGACTGGCGTAATAAGATACGACATAGCGATCGGGAATCCTGAACAGTTTTAATATTTTTACGATTGACATTTGTCAATATATATGATGGACATATATTTTAGTTATTTTAAAGTGAAGACAAGGCATACAATGTACTAGTTTGACGTGAATTGAGTAGCACCTGAAGATGGCATTTTTATGCCGAAACATGTAGTGAGAGTGAGAGAAGAAGATAGATAAGTGTACGCACTGCAAGACGGATTAAACAAATCATGAGAATGTAAGATTTGAGGTTTTGACAGTGGTCACTATGAAGAAAGCAGTCTTCTGAGATGTGGCGCCGACATTTCGGAGGAACAGACTTGTTGCACCTGCTCATGCTGGTTCACTTGTGGATTTCTTCTTGTCTTCTACCCTGAAGATGGCGGCGATACATTCCTCCGAAATGTCAGTTAACACAATATCTACATGGCGCCACATCCCAGAAGACTGCTTTCTCCATTAACAGAATTCATTGTATGACGTTTCTTGCAGTGACCTCCAGTTGAAAATACCTGATGTGAGTAGAATGCGAGATCATATGGAGAGGTTCCCGAGTGGGTATTGCGAACAAAGCATGTTTAGGATTGGTCACCAGAACAATAGGCCATTCCCTGTGCTTCAGATCAACAAATGAAAACATTCCATGATCTACTGCCAGAAGACGATACCTGCAACAGAAGAATATGCCTGTGACACTGTTTCTGGTGTTAGCTCTGCTACCCTATTACATGATACCAACAGCACAGTATTTACATTCATATTTAAATTATTGGATTTGAGGTTAACTATTAAAAATACTGGCTTCTAGGTTTCTAACATCACATAGTTTTGGCACAGACCAACAATTCATAGGAATATATTGCCAGTGTTCAGGATTGAAGAGTAAGCCATGGAAGAACCCAGCAGAAGCAAGCAAGAAGCTTAGTTTGGCTTACTCTTTGGCGATATGTTTCTCTGAAATGTCAGGCTCTCTCCAAACAGTCCGGAAGACACAGATGTTTATGTTTGAACTGTTTAATGAATTTGGGATTTAGATTAAAATAGGATTCTCTGAATGTCCGTAGAACAGTGGTTGGTTCAACAGGTAAAATCCCATTATGGGGGCATGGCAGCAAGTATGTGAATTTACAGACAAATGAGTGGGAAAGGAGACAGATTTTATATCTGTTATTAACACCAAACTAGTTATCTGCTGCATTGTCTAACTGGGTCTCTACTTTCTACTCACATCCGGTTGTCCTTCCAGTCACCCAATTCCAGCTCCAGGAAACCAGCTTGCTGGAGTGTGTACATACTGGGGACCATTCCCCCCAGAGTGTGATAGTGTCCACATACATACACAATTGATTCAGGATATTTTGAAATCAAAGCTCTAACACCATCTGAGCCTGTAGTAAGGATACATGATGTGGGGTAATGTCCAAACCAGATGGTGTGATTACTTCCTTTTCTCTTTGCTTCATCTGATAGTTTCTTAACATGGTCCATTTCTTCCTGAGACAGCACACCGACAAAGTTAAATGGGCGGCGTGGCCCTGGTTCCAAACAAGCGTCCATTCCGATGAAGGAATACGTTTCACCTCCTTTCTTTATCTGATACATATATGACTTAGGATGTGCTTGTCCCTGTATGGAATAATTACGGTAATAGTTCTGTTTTGATGTCAAGCTTGGGACATTGAAATTATCTGCAATAAAAACAAAAATTTAAGTTTAGTGAAGAGAGAATAATTAGGGCGGCCGCACCCCAATAGTGTCAAGACAAGCATCAAGACAGACAGAAGACGCAGTCCTGCTTCATTCGTGATTGATCAGTATGAAGCTGATGTCACCATCAAGACTCAGACCAGTGTGCGGCGGTTTTCACAGTCCATTTCAACTGTGCTCCTTTCTTTGCGTCATGTCACACATCGTGTCTTGACTGTTACATGTCTTGACGCATGGCGGTGTATGGCCTACCTTACTGTTTTGAAAGGTAGAAACACTGCAGACAGGGAGAAAGTGTGAAATAGACAATATGTGATTGTGTCAGGTACTTGATTTGTACCATGGTTTCCTCTTATGTCAAGCCACACAGTTTTCTCTGTCACTCTACATGCTTGCAAAACATCCTTGTACAATTCCCATTCTTGAACGTATTGACGAGATCCCATGTTATCTTCAGACTTCGCATCTGTCAAGTCACCTGAAAGAAAAAAATTATAAACTGAATATTACTTTACAAAAACACAATGAACAAATTTTATGGCATACCAATAGATAATAATGAAAAGGCTGTGATGCTGAGCATCAGCAGTGCATTCTTGTGCCTTGGCTACACAATGGACGGGTCCATTATACACTGCCTGTCATTTGACATATTCAATGGCCTTAAACTTTATGTTTCAAGCTCGCATATCGAAACTCTGATGTTTCACTGCATGGTCAGTCACCTGTTTGTAGAAACTGCAGTAAAATATCATTAATATGTTACAATCACCTCAAACACCTCATTTCCACAAATAAAAAAATGCACGTGCGCACACATACTATACAGCGAAACTACCATTTAATGTTCCCCAATTTCTCAAATTAAAGTTTTCCCTCATTTAACATTCAATTTCAATATCACAAGTCAGCAGTCTCATTATAAATTTTCTCCAGTCAAGCTTATGCTCAGTTGAGTGTGTGAATCCGCTACTCCCCAAAGAATCCTTAAATAGAGTTTTGTTATATATATTACTTTTGTAAAAGCTGTAAGATAAAGCAGGCGAATTAATGCTGATTTGTTTAATTTTCATCACAGTTCTTGCAACATCACATTTAAAAGATCTGAACACTTTTTTTTTTTAACCTAGAATATCATTTACTTATTAACTTAATGTAGCACCACAGCAAATAGATGTATGGAGGAGTGGAATATAACTCCATACAGTGTTAATCATTGTACTAAATGGAATCAGTGGGCCACATTCAAGTTCTGGCCACTGTAAGCCCCCCACAGAAAATAGCCTGTGGTACCCTATGGATAACTTGTATAAAGCGCAGACACTTGCAGATCTTTCATCTCTTTCCTGCCTGTAATGCAAACAAGTCCTCATACCTGACGCCAGGACTATGGTAGGCTTAATAGCATTCAGTGTTAGGTCACAGAATTCCTTTAGTTCAGTCACACGAGATTCATCATGGAAAATGCTAATGTGGATATCAGAGATCTGAAACAAAGAGAAACTAGTAATATTAAGCAATTTAAAACAGCACTGAAGCATTACTTACTTCCTCACACCTTCTACTTCAGAGATGAATATTTCAATATAAACAAACAGTAAAATGTAAGGTAAATTTATCCCTATGGGCCATGAGATGTCAAGGCTCCCACATCAGCTCACAGATGGCAGTGAGGTCAGCCTTGCGTGCCGGTCGGCCTTTACCCTCCAGGAAGATTCCTGGTACTCATTTCTGATACAGGCTGAGTCTACCTCAGGGCCATAGTGCAGCTGGAAGGATTAGGTAAATTGAAAAAATCCACCTCATTGGGACTTGAACCTGTGACCTTCCAGTTTGTAGCACAGTGCCTCAACCAACTATGCTACTGCATGCCCCCTAAACAAACAGTAACTAGTATCAATTATAGACTAAAGTATACCCCGAAGCATGTTACTGTATCATTTTGCTTACCTACAGACTGTGCTGTATGTATCCAGTTAGCATGGTAATATTAATACTGTATTATAATCTTATTAACTTTCCAAGTAAAATTATTATCATACAGATGTTATGTATTTGTACTTAACTTGTTCCATATCCAGTGGTGTCAACCTGTACTTGGATTTACGGAATGTAAATAAATTCAAATCTCCCTCAAACTACGCACTTTCCCTGCCAGTCTATCTCTTCTGCTCACAAAAATACTGGCAGTGATAACCTTAGCTAGTAACAAGCGCTTTGTCTGCTTGGCATATGATATACAGTAGTAGGAAGGGAGGGGGAAATCTCAAGCACTGTTATCCCCACCCTCTCCATGGACTTCTTTCTGCAGCCTTAGCATAGTGTAGCAGTCAGATAGTTAAAGAAAGTATGGCTAAATCTTATGACAAGCTTATATCTCGAACAATTTCGTCTTCTGGGATGTGGCACCATGTACATATTGTGTAAACCGATGTTTTGGAGGAACACATCGCCTCCATCTTCAGAATATAAAAAAATCTGCAGTGCAGCCACCTGCTCACTCTGGTTCCTTGCTCATGGATTTTTATGTCCTGAAGATGGAGGCAATACGTTCCTCCGAAACGTCGGTTTACACAATATGTACACAGCACATCCAAGAAGACAGCATCCTTCACTGTCACTGCCATGAAAACCTCAAATCTTACAAGCTTGTGTTTGATTTAGAAAAAACTTTTTCTATGTAAAAGCCCAATACACTATCTCAGCCTGAACAAGGTAAATACCATTATTTGATTCAAGTTTTAAGTGATACAGTCTAATATCCTAATATATTACGGACTTCTTCAGTTAACAGCTGTTTGTCCTCCTCGACCTTCAACATGAAATTCTTCTGTATCTTTCATCACCACAAACAGGTCCCCTGCTGCTGGAATCTATCATAAATCTAGCCCTTGTGCATTTGAACCAGTGAAATTTAAACTGCCATCTCTTTCTCTCCATGAAGTAAATGTTTCCCAGGGTCAGCTCATTCAATATCAATATGATTAACAGAATAACTGATTATCAAAATTTGTAACTTGTTTCATTTGTTCACTGGAAACATTTTTGTGCCTGCAAAGTTACCTTATGTCAACACTCTTTAAAGTCAACAAACGTTTTAAAGGAACATGTCGCCTCCCTCTTCAGTCCTGAAAAATAAGCCAAGCTCTGCTTGCCACTTGCTTCGTGATGGTTTCTTACTTGGGGTATTCTTCAGAATATGATTGATCTACATTGCACAATGATAGAATTGTGTTTTCTCTAATTCATTTTAATTCCCCCTGCCCCTGGTAATTAAATCAAGTGCTACAAAGACAGTAGAATAAGAGGAAGAAAACAATTTGAAATTGTTTTCATAAATTCATATCTAAAACATTAAAATGTTTTGCCTAAACATGAAACCCTATTGCATCATCCACAAACAATAACTAAATGCCCCTAGAAATATACATCTTAGTTGATGCCAATAAAGCGAATTAGTTTTAAATGAAATGGGATCAAAGGTACATATATTAACCAACCTTAATAAACATTTAACTGGTTATTATTTTATTGCACAAACCTGTATGAACCATATTAAATGTTCTGATGACTTTCCTATCGTTACATTATTTGTTCTTTGGTCGGCGTTTAGTTCAATGTCGTTCATTCGTCTTGATGAGACTGGAACCCGGGCATTTTCGCCCACAGAAATTAAGTTTGATATATTGGCAACGAATACAGACAACATAAGGGCGAAAACAAGAAATATTATTGCAGTTTTCGAATTTGGCATTTTGCTGTAAAAAAATACTGCTTCCGATCTGACGTGCTGAAGTTCGTACTACACATACTCAACTTTTCTCAACACGACATATTAATTTCGAAGGAGTCCCTTGAAACCTGAACGTTTTGTTCCCTTCTGCCGCGGACTAGTAATTACTCCTACGAACAAGTTGCTCTAACGTCGCCACTAACCTAGCACGTCCTAAACGGTATTCTTACGATTTGAAACACTGGGGAACTGCGGAATACACACAACGTGTGGGGCCCACAGCTGATCCATCACATTCCGTAACCTGCTAGCCCTGCAGTGCCCAAAGCCGCTTAGAATGGCATGTACGTGAACTTCGAGAACTATCAACAAACATTCGGTTGTCTTCTGCTAATCCTCGATAGTTAGGTCTGCCAACATAATTCACGGACGTGTAGCCGTGACCTGTGCTAAGGTTGCAGTGAATTCTGTTTATTGCACACCAGTTCCACTGGCTCTCCCAGGCTAGTTTCCCATTTTGGAGTTTTGGAGTTGTTCTTGGTAATGACCGTTTCTTCGGCTGGCTTGTTGCATTCATTTACACACAGCCACTCGTCATACGCTTCATACCTAGTGTCTTTTAAACGCTAAAACAACCTGCTGTCCTCGTGTAAAACAGCCTTCATTTCGAGATTTAAGCATGCACAGACTGATGTTCGCCTACGCACAAGACCAAACAAGGCGTGTGTAAGTGTAATGAACTGCGTAACGAGTAGGAAAGTGCGGAGTACGGAGGTTATAGAGTGTACTTGTATGACTTCAAACACTTCGAGTTTGATGGATGAGGTTCGGACAGAAGTGGCTTTAGTACGTGTTATTTTCGGTAGGTTCGAATGAAGATGTGTTTGTAATATCGAGTGAGCGCTAAAGGGATGGCTCGCAGTAAACAGGAGGCTTTACTTCTTGAAGAACGTATAGAGAAAATTCGTAAGAAAAATGAAGAAATAAAAAGGCGGCATTTGGTAAGATTTTTTTTTTTTGCCTGTAGATGTAAAGGTGAACAGTTAATATGTGCATCACAATGGTCCTAGAATACAGGACGTGGGGCAAGCCAGAGTACATTGTATCACATTCTGAATGTACGTAGAAATACGATGCTGTTACGGACCATTTCCCAAGAATAAAATACGCGACAGATGATGAAATTCATATACACGATGATAGTTGCTTATAAATTTATATTTAGGGATAGTTATAATATCAGTGTACAAAAAATATATAACTTTGGAAATCAGCGTATTAAGTGTGTGACTATACACATAAATTCCACACACTTTTTCCAGAATCCATATATGTGTGTGAATATACACAACTAGGAAATATCTGTATGTATAAGTGATGTACGTACAACATCTGAAATGAGAGCACAATTACTGCCGTCAGTCATTCGTTTCTTAATAATATAAATTCATCTACAGAGCAGAGGTCATAAAGGTACTGTCTTACGGGATGTGAAGCTGTATAGTTTGGTAGATTTTTACTAACATTGTTCTGAAATGTTGATAATAATCTACTAGACTATGTGGTGTCACATCCCAGAAGGTAGTAATATTTGTATTTACCATTGTGAGATCCTTAAGTTTTGCATAGAAGGTGTGAGTCTGGAATAATTCTTTCATTGTTGTTTTAGACTGTAGGATTTGAGGTTATCATAATGGTGGTAGTGAAGAATTCTGTCTTCTGGGATATAACACTGTGTAGTCCATGAAAGACAACCGGCATTTTGGATGAACATGTTGCCTCCATCATCAAGGCTGAAGAATAAACCAGACGAGAAACCAGCATGAAGGAGGTAGCAAGCAGAACGTGATTAGGTTATTCTTTGACCCTGAAGATGGAGGCAATGTGTTCCTCTAAAATAGTTCCAAATGCAAATCAAATATTTTGAATTGTTTCATTTTTGGTCCGTTACACTATCAATCACAAATTGTCAATGAAAAATCCGTCGAGTGTAACAATGTTTTTAGGTCACTTATTTATCGACACCTGTAACAGCGTCCACGTAGCTTACATACTGTGTACATTAAACAATGCCAGTGTTCTCGTGTGTTTGTAATATGTGCCTCTGATGATGGTTTCTCTTGAACTGAAACATGTAAGGCAAGTGAGATAAATAAGTGACCTAAAAACATTGTTACACTCGACGGATTTTTCATTGACAATTTGTGATTGATAGTGTAACGGACCAAAAATGAAACAATTCAAAATATTTGATTTGCATTTGGAACTATTTTAGAGGAACNCTGCAGTGTTACCGCCTGGTGCAGATATGTTCTGAACACAGTTGAAAATAATCACAGTTAAACAGTTCACCTTCCAGTGAAGTGACTTTTAGGACACCCAGTATTAATAACTTCAATGGAGACATCTCCATTTACACATAGACTCCATAAATATATAAATTCTTGCAGGAGGTGGAAGCAGACAAACAAAATGCAGCAAAGCTAAATGCCTTGGTCCAGGTAACGAGTCCAACTGTGGACTGGCCTATTGGAGGGAGATCACCACCCCATAGCCATGGAACAAGCAGGGCTGTACATTCAGAGCAAAGGGGGCCACAGCAGAATACTGGCAGTAAAAGTGGCTCTGCAGAGTGCTGTACTTCTGGAGAGGTGAGGAAGAAGCAGCCAGGATATTTATGGCAGCAAGCAGTGGCATGATTTATTTGTAAAAGGTATCCAGTTTGATTGAAATTGATCCTTCTTCATGGAAGCTGAGTGATTCTGTTCTCGGAGACATTATTGGAAAACACAGGCAGCATCGCTTCTGCTGTTGCAGCAGCTCGGTTCGAGTGGTCACATGTCTTGTAAGTGGGAGGTGTCCAGTTCTGATCTTTGCCAGATTTCCGAATGTCCTTACTGATGTTTTGTGTTGTTTTCTACAGTCCCTCTAGCAAATGCAGGAATATGTACCTAACATTAGGCCATGACCACTTCCTTCCATGTCCGCTCCAGTCATACTGAGCTGGTTAGTGTAGCAGTATTCACAAGATGCTTGGTTCAAACCTTGTTCAGGACACTGGCTATCCAGACTGATGCTTCTTGTGGTTTTCCTCACCCCCCTCAGCTCCACGTGTTTGTCTTATGGTTTTGTTTGGTTTGTTGGTTGTGGCTGTCCAGTTCAAGGACACCAAAATTAAAACAGATGGTTAACCCACATAACGAAATGTAATCTGAGGCAACCACATATGAGAAACAGAGCTGTTCTACAGTGGTCAGCAAGTCCCTTTAATCACAACAACCTGTACTCCTGAAGATGGCCCGTCACGCCGAAACATGTAGTGTCAATGAAGGAGATGATGAATAAATAGTAACCGAAGTTGTACACAGACGGCATAAAGCAAAACGCAGCGTTGGATTTCTGATTTATTATTCCATAATCATCTTGCTATTTGGTGCTGTATCGTCTTACCACCTTGCAGCATTGTTAACACTTTACTGTTAAGTCATACCATGGAACTGTGTCAGAAATACCAAGGCTGCCTGAGGATAAATACCGTTTTACAGAGAACCTTCGAATACTTTCCTCAAATAACCTTCGGACAACTGGTATATTTCATGTAAAAGCTTGTTCTTTTCTCTAGACTTTAACATGTCACATTTAGTGTCACCTATTTGCAGAAATGTTTTGCTAATTGATTAATAGGGCTATCTTTTCAGATATGCAGTTTTTTTTAAATACCCTGAGCTGATCTAGTTGGTATGTAAACAATAAACTAGTTCTATTACACCTTCCGATTTGTCAAACTGCAGAGATAATAACATGCATCCTACTTTAAAGTACAATATTTTGTATGAAAATATTTTCTTCCACAAATATTCCAGTTTCACGTGTATATAATGACCTGAACACTGTGCATCATTTACATGGCTATTACCCTTCAGATGCTCAAGGAGGACACTATACCAGGCAGTTCTTCAGTTCCTGTGGTCTTTTTTTCAGCAGAGAGATGGCCCCCCTCGAGATTCCACTTCCAAGTTCCTAGTAGACAAAGAGCAGGAGTACGATAGGAGACATTCTCAACAGCAGCCACAGCGGAGGGGAAGGAGTGGTGGATGGAACAGAGGGGCCTTTACTCGAGATAGGGTAATATGATTTAACCCACTTCCTGTTCCCCCCAGTGTTAAAATGCTAAAATAAAGCCTTCTGTTACATCCTGAGAGACCTACCCATGTTCTTTTCCTCATAAAGGAATCCCTTTATTCATCCATTTTCCAGAATTGGAACATTCAAGCAGTGTTGCATATTAGGTGCATTATTCTTTAAAAATCAGTTTTTATCAAAGGCGTGAGTTCTTTTTGCGGGATTTTTTTTTTTAAACACAAGGGAACATTGAACACGTTCTTGGTGGCAAGTTTTGTTCATAACACAAAGCATATGTTTCTACACTAATGTTAATGTAGTGAGGCACTGACTGCTCCGTCTGTGGCATGGTGCTTTCTGCAGGGTAAAAGGAGTTCCCCTCAGCAAGGTCGAGGGAGAGATGTCCATCTACCAGAGTATGAGGCATGGAGAGCTGAGAGAAATCGCATTGATAGCGACCGAATCAGTCGTCAGAGAACTTCAGAGGGCCATTGGCGTCGGGAATGGGACAATGAAAAGATAACACAGGAGTAAGTAAAACATTCTGGTATGTGATCATGACAAAGACCTGTATCTCATCAACTAATGAGGACTTTCATCAACAGTTGATAGTCATTCAGCTGACCAGCAAATCCTTTTATCAGTATGGAACCTGAAGGTTCATCATATCACAACTTATCTCTTTAAGATCTGTTTTAATGTTATCTTTCTGTCAGTGGCTACATCTGTCTTTCAAGTTGTCTCAACATATAAATTTTTCCCATGAAAATCCCAGAGATGCACATCTTGGTTTAAGTCTACATGCTACATGTCCTGCTCATCTTGATTTCCTAACCCCGACAGTATAGCACAAACAATGTGACTTAGCTGTTTAGGAAGGTATATGCGAATGTATTCAAGAAGCAATGGTTAAACAACTGTCAGGACTGTTATCTCCTTTGTGGTATAAGTTTTATTAAAATTGGTGGAATGACTATTGACACTTCAGTGGGAAAGTCTGGCAGTGTATCTCTAGCTATGGCTTCCACATATAACTCTCCTGTTGATCTATTCTTATACACTATGACACATGAAGGACACTGAAATCATGATTTTGCTGAAGTTACACTAAACTGTTCTGGAAATAAAGCTTGACAGAATACCAATGACAACAACAAAAACAGTCTGGGGCCAGTGGTTGCATAGTTGGTTGAGGCACCATGCTAAAAGCCAGGAGGTCATGGGTTCAATTCCCGATGAGATCATTGGATTTTTCTGTTGAACTAATTCTTCCAGCCACAATATGGCCGTGGGGTTGACGCAGCCTCTAACAGAAATGAGTACCAAGAATCTTACTGGGGGGTAAAGGGCAGCTGGCGTTTAAGCCTGACAACCTCACTTCCATCTCTGAGCGGATTGTCTACAAAATATGGGAGCCTCAATGTCCCACAACCCTATGGGCCTCCATGGCCTGTTACAGAGATGACTTTACTTTTTTTAATAATAGTCTAGAGGTATCTCTTTTGGCAAAGATTAACACTATAATACTGATTGAATATTACTGTTTATAGCCGCCATCTTTAGTTGTGAAACCAACAAGCGTTGCCCTGCTTAGAGTGGTTATATGTAGACGGTCAAAAGATTGTTTTTTTGAGAGCAATTTGATCCCTACTGTTGGCTTGCTGAGGCCTTTGTAATGAGATGACCCACCCTGATGGAAACATTAATAGATTTTCTTATAAAATTTGCAGACAAGAGGGCCAAATACCAGAGGCTGTAATGTGTATATGAAACCTGTTGTCTATGAGAGATGAAAAATTTGTTGTATTGTGCAATCCATATTTTTGCTGAGGGCCTAAAGAAACTTAGGGTTCAACACTGGGTAATCCAACAGGCTTGACCCTTTAAAGACCAGTTGTTCTATACGTACCACGTGCTCTAATGTGCTGAAACTCTGCATTCTGCTGACAGAGTATATAAGTATTATGTTTCATATCATTCCCACAATAAACAGTGTTGTTTCCCTAAATAGAATTAATCAGTTGATTTTTGTAGTTGAGAAGTATTTTATTTCCTGTAAGGTATGAACTGAATTCTTATATATTATTTAGAAGAAATTAAGTCCTTAATATTTTAAACACCATGGTATTCACCTAAGGAAAAAATGTTGATTCTGTTAAATACTACAAATTTCTCATTCATTTTTGTACAGGGAGGAAGATGTGAGAGGAACAGCTAAAATGTCAAGGAGTGGTGGATTTCACAGAAGTAATACTGTCTCTCATCCTTACGATGATCATAAAGTGCAGATAATTCAAGACCGTAGGTATATTCTGACTGAGGTTTTCCTTGTTCCCCCCCCCGAATAAATACCCAGGTTGTTTGTTAAATGTTTGAAGTTGCTGATTTCTGCTTGTTATATGTTTATCTCATCATTGTATACCATCTACTTACTAGTAATACATGGCTCATATCCAGCTAGTTTTGTCTTAATATTCATCTAAGAACAGTTTCAAAAGCAGTGGCAGTATGACCAAAAATGAATGGATAGATGTATTGTCTATTGTATTGTCAAGTGCAGCATTTATTTAGCATTGAACAGCGAGAGAATGATTTCATTCTTTGAACTTGAAAGGATTGTGGAGAAATCAGTTTTAGTCTGTTTCAAGATATTATTCCGGTATTTGACAAGAGGGATATGCTACCATTAAGTACCATCATCTGGGTAGCAGATAGGACATCACCTGAATGCAAATCAGATGTACTGCCACTTAAAATAGCTTGCTCACTGACTGAAGATGAAGTTTATATTTAATACTTGTACACATGTTTGCCTGTGTTATGCACTTATGCCTACTTTTAATATTCGAAGAGGTAAGGTTACTAGTGAATGTGTGTGACTGTTGTCAAGTGTCGTAGATTGAACCAGTGGATAGATTTTCATAAAGCCTGGTATCAGTATCATATCTTTTTAGATTGCCTCATGTTGATATTTTACAAATATTTGTCATTTTTAACACTACTATGGTGTATATAGTTAGGTTAGCCCTTGTGAAAACAAAGTGATTTATAATCATTATTTTACAATTGAATGTTTATTTCCTGCTACATGTTTCAGTCTCGTAGGACCATCATCAGGCAGTGTAAAATAGTAAAATATTGACTGATTATAAATCACTTTGTTGGCTGCGCCATAGCTCAAGTGGTTAGTCGCTGGCTTCCCACCGCGGTGGCCTGGGTTCAGTCCCGGGTCTGGTCAAGTGGGATTTGTGGTGGACAAAGTGGCACTGGGGCGGATTTTCTCGGAGTACTTCAGTTTCCCCTGCCAATTTTCGTTCCACCAAATTCTCCATCATCACCATCTGGGGCAGGCTGCAATAGGCCAATCAGTGGCCCCAGTAGGACTCCACCCCCAGTAAGCGAATTAAAAAAAAATCTCTTTGTTGTGGCGACAGCTAACCTAAATATATACGTTTGGGACACGCAACAGGATGCACGCTGTGAAGACTACTGTGGTAAATGTGCAGATGTCTGAGGTGAGAGTTACAGTCATGCTTTTTTGGGTTCTGGAATTCATCGCTGTGGCAGACCTTCACAAAATAATACAACTTTTCTTGTTTTCTTTTTTATACAGTCTGAAATGAAGTTGTGGCTGGAAAAATATCTCTGTATAGCCTTCAGTTTGAAAATAATGCATTGCATGTGAAATTTGGCATTTATGTTGTGCGTATAACATATAGATGTTTTCTATGATCCTTTCTCTTATGTTAAGATGAACAAACACGGTAATAGTATGAAACTGAAAGGCTCTCTCTCGGGTTGTGGCAATCTGTGCACAGAAATCTGAACACAAACATGCGAAAGACTTCTTGAAGGACTCTCTGCAAATAATACCAGGAACTATTAGGACTAAGCAGGTGCCGATTGAGATGTGATGCTATTTCTTGAAAGGATGCCACTTCATACAGGGATTGGTAAAGAGCTCTGGTTGTAAAAGGTGCCATAAAAAGATGAAATATCCTCACATATCTTGTGTAACTCTGTGTACCTAATTTAAGATATAGTTGCTTGGGACTCTGTTATGAAACAGGGTGACTATCCAAATGTCACACTAAGCAAAGCATGGAACCGCTGTAGAGCTAATTCAGAAAGGTTTGAAGTTTGTGGTGAAAGGGCCATTTTACCTCACTCCTTGTATCTACTCTGATGTGTAATGTAATACTAGAAATAATCATTAATTTGTATATTTATTGATATATTTTTGTAACTTCCGCAAGCCACTAAATAAAGAAGGAAGAATGTTTAAAGAAAAGTGGCTTCTACCTTCTTTCCTAAATTTATTTATTTTATCTTGCATATATATCGTAGAGAGAAAGGTATGTCCTGGTCATTTGATATTTATTTATATCTTGAAGTATCCTGTTTGAAAATTTAAAGATGCATGTTATGGCTTGATAAGGAGCCAGAATAGTGTAGTTGGTATAGTTACTAGCTACGGGCTGGACAGCCAAGGTGTCAGAGTTTGAGTCCTTGTAAAGTCAAGAATTCTCTCTTCTCTATGTCATCCAGACTGGCTCTGGGGTACACCCAGCCTCCTATCCAATGGGTACTGGGGGCTCTTTCCCTGGGTGTGAAGTTGACCACTCACCTGAAACTAGTGTCAAGGTCAAGAAAAAGTGTGTGTATATATATATATATATATGTCCACTCCTTCGTACGCCTTCATGGTGTAGTGTTTAATTAGTTAAGCACAGGTACAACTTTACTTTGTTATGCTCTTGTAAGGTATAATGTATGAGTTGTGTGTTCTGTTGTGATATAAGACTTTTTGTTTGAGCAGTGGGTAACAGGTAATGCTTACTTTATAGGCGTGAGGCCTGGAGAAAACTCATCATCTAGACTCTCCCGGGTATCAGAGAGGGGTGGAAGAGGTCATGGCATGTCACAGGAGAACAGAGGCAACCTTCGGGGAAAGCGATACATCCGAGCCCAGACCAGTCCAATTCAAGGTACAAATTTTTGTTGACACGATTTTTGAGACCAGAGGCACAAAGTTCTGTGAAGAATATATGATGTTTCCCCTTTTAGATGGAAGGCAGCATACCATAGTCAGTGAAGTTACTATGCTATTGGATTTGATTCCGTGTCAGGGGTAAGAGATTTTTCTCTTCTCAACAGCCCACCCAACCTCTTATTCAGTAGGTAAAAGACCCTATTTCTCTGGGATAAAATGGCTGTGGCATAAAGCATGTGACATGCATTCACCCAGTGCCAAGTCTGAGAATGTGTGAAGCTGTACCTCCACTTCTGCATCCATCTTCATGTCATGGCCCTTAATTAAGTACAGGGACAACTTACCTCTACCATACCCATTTTAAATGCCTCCATCTGGAGGCACTATCGCTGATCTACACTTTACAGTTCACTGTTACACACACACACACACACACACACCAGGGTTCTCAGATGCAGTCTGTCACATCCTGGCAACGGATTTCATGACATTAATTATCACACATAAAGTCTTCTCTTCAGAGGCTGATTTTATCAAATCTCAACTGAACTCACTGCCATCTCCTCTCGATCATCTTTGACTGCCGTCTCCAGTGACTCCCACAATTCTATCTCAGCTGGCTTTGGATCCTCGTTATGTAGCCTCATGTCGGCCCCATCAAAAAACGTTGTTTCCTAACAATTCCTCTGTTGTTATAGATGTGTGTTTGCCTTGCTGTTGCATAGAAATGGTGATTTGTCTATTGTTGCGTGCATGTTCATTTCTGCGGGAACCTTTTTACCAAGCCATTGCCTAGCAATGAACTATTGTGGCTACAGGCATCATGTCACAATATTGTCTGCATCAGTATAGTGTGGCAGGAGCCCACTTAACAGAAAACATTGACCCTAAGATCTGTATTTTTTCTATAGACATTAACAAAGCATATTTTCCTGTGGACCATCGAACAGAGTGGCTCATGTACACAGCTCCCTAGTAGCTGTCACTTCTCGCCCCACTCTAGAGCACTGAAGTGGACAGTGTCATCCTGTTTCCCCTCCTACCGCCTTCACCCTGAAGATATGGACTGCGGTGTACACAGAAATTTGTGGAAATTTTTCAATATATGATGTGGCTTAATCTTGAAAGCCGAATTTACATGTTACACATGGAAATAAGAATCTAAGGACAGTAATACCTCTGCAGCTGATTAGTTTCATGTCTGTAGTATAAATATTAAGACTACATAAAAGGATGTGAAATTACAAAAGTGACATCTGAAACTGTGTATGTACTTCAGGTTAAATTTCTGAACAATTCAAAATTTCAGGAAATGTTCCATGTTCTTGCTATTTACCTTCTTTGTGAGATATTTTCAAAAATAGAATTGTAATAGTGGGTATTTTTTTCTATATCAGATAATTTTATGTTCCTTTTTTTTTCATGGACTGTGATGATTGCCTTTGGGAAATTGTTTTAAAATTATTCATGTTATGTTTAATACTTGTCTGCAAGAATTTGTTATTACATTTCAGATATCAGAGAAGAAAATGCTGTTGCTGCCCACAGCGAACGCACTGTGATTAGCACTGGAGAGTCAATAAAGATATCTGTTGCTAATAGTTCTCCTGCACCTCCTGTCAGGAGCGTCAGAGGTTTGTAGGCCTTAGGGAAATGTAGAAGAAATTTATGATATTCCAAAATGTGTGCATGTGGACAGTAATAAGATTCTTTTAAGAACAAAGATAGAGGTTTTTAAGTGTATGATCATTGAGTGGATTGATGACATGGAGATGGAGAGACAATATTGTGATGAAAGCCATTGCTAGACAATGGCTTGTTAAAACACCGTTTCTGGGACAAACGTCGGTTGGTGAGCAACGCTAGGTAAACACTGCCTAAAAGTTTGAATAATAGCAGAAGCAAATATAATCCATTGCTGGACAATAGGTTGGTTACAGTGGTATTACAAGCATATGTGGTACAATGCATTCATGTAACATAGTAATGGAACCCTTTGAGACGGTGATATATATTCGGTCCGCATGAAGTTAGCTCAGTCTGAGATGCAGACATCCAGACAGAGTTCGAGCGAGTCATACTGGTGAGATTAAGAGTTTGAGAGACTAGAGACTTCAAGATTCATTTGACAGACATCGTTTAAGGAAGCAGAATAGCTGAAGTGTTACCAAGCAGCAACTAAGCAAATAGACGTTGTGAGGATGGAGTTCAATGTGTGAGCAGTTATAATAAACTGTAACTGTAATACAGTCATCCAGTAAATCCAGTCATCAAATCTAGGACCCACAATTATTACTCATGAAACCCCTTAGACATGGCAATATTGTCATATATTTGGGGTGTGGATTGGAAATTGGATTTATAGCCACCACTCAGAACTGCACATAATTACAGCACTACTGCTAATCTTCACACCTTACAAATCACCCCAGCACCCGCTAAGCCTTTTCCAGCCTGCTGTCTCAATCAGCCGTTCCCTGGCAATGGCTTCTAACAGTGCAGATTCTTCAGCTTCCCATGCTCAGGTCCTCTTTGTCACAGCTGCCCATGCAGAACTCTTGTCAAAACACAATTTGCTAACAATCCCTCTATTGTTTCTTGTGTATTTGTTGCCGCAGGAATGTGTTTACGGAGCCATTGCCTAGCAATAAACGTCTCCTCTGTCTCCACTATTCTGGCCTTCAGGCATCATGTCACAGTATGAAAGAGAGTAGGAAAAGACTGGACTAGATAAAAGAGGGGTGTCACTGACTAAGATGGTTTAGGCAGAAATGCTCCTGACCTGCATGGGGGGAAGGGTCATTTGAATCTCATCTGGGACAGTGAATATCTTGATTGAGGGTTTCCACAGCTTTCCTCAGGCCTTCCAGGCGAATGCTGGGATAGTACCTTGAAATAGGCTGCTTCCTTCCACATCTTTTCGAATTCGTCACCCGTATTCATTGTATCATTCAACGCTGTACAGTCTGAGTTTCAGAAATTGTCATTACATACACCAAATGGATGAAAAAACAAACAAAATGAATATTAATGGAAAGGATGGAGAGGAATGAGAAACCATGACACATCGGTGAGTGGCGATCATGATCCCATATGAGTTATAGCTGACTTGATACAGGTATGACAAAATTTTTCTGCTTTTTAAAGGCTTTGTTCACTCTGTTCCAATTTTAGCTTTTCGGGGATGTTACAAGATCTCATTCATATATATTCTTTCCCCAATTTTCTCTGATGTTTCATATCAGTGAAATGTTATTATCATACATACATTTATTTTTAAAGTAAAAAAGGATGTAAACTGCTGTTTATCGAACTGCATTTCACATAATTTTAACACCTAAAATGGCTGTTGGCTGAGATATGTTTGGATTTTCTCATGATTGCCGGAGACAGTAGAAACCCCTACACTTTTATGCTTACGTTCTTCATTTGCCTTGAAATCAGTGCCCCCCCTTTACAGCAACAGAAGAAATATAAAATCTATACTTACATGGAGATTCTGACATGACACTTGTTAGCTTGTCCATTTATTTATGGACACACATTTGTTTATGGTTTACTTAACGATGCTCTCCGTAGTTCAGACTATCTATTGTATTGAATGATGGGATGATGAATGAATAATAAATTGGAAAGGATGTAAAAGGAAGTGGTCATGGTCTACTTTGAGGTACTATTCTGGCAACTGCCTGGAGGAACTGCAGAAAACCACAAACCTTCAAGGTAGATGAGCTTGAAGTTGAAATTTGAACCCAGGATCTCTCGAATATGAAATAGGAGTGTTACATGTTGAACTGTAACATTGAGATTGCTTATCTAATTCAAGAGAAATTCCATGGCTGGACTGTACATTTGTGAGGTAACTAGTCCAGACCACACAGAGATTAATGTCATTTGAGATATGTTTCTGAGAACATCAAAAAGGATTAGGGCAGCCACACACCAACTGTGTCAAGACAAGCATCAAGACATGAGACAAAAGATGCAGTCTTGCTTCATTCGTGATTCATCAGCATCATGACTCAGACCAGTGTGCAGCGGTTTTCTCATTCGTTTCAACTGTGCTCCTTTTTTGCATCATGTCGCAGACATCGTGTCTTGACACATGCCGGTGTGCAGCCTACCTTAATGTTGTCTCAGTCATTATAGTCCACCCAAGACATATGTAATTTGTAGTTATGATTGTATGTCTTTGTTGGCCTGTTGCAGTTAATGCCCCGCTAGTTGCTGGCACAGGCCGAGTGGGACCACGGCAGAATCTGTGCATCAGTTACAGCAGCCAATCAGAGGATGAAGTCCCTCCTCGCAGAGTAGAGCTGCGGCCGTGTAGAACTCCTTCCAGTCATAGTAAAGCACCTCCTGATGCCGGCATTAGTAACCGTGCTGGTGCTGCTGCTTTATCAAAGCCACCATTGCCTCCTGCAGAAATGAAACAGGATCCCAAACCAAAAAGAGAGCGCCCTAAGAGAGTAGAACATGGCACCAAGCTGAGAAAACAGAGAGAAAAAGAAGAGATTAATACTACAGAAGTATCTAAACGTGTGGACAAGAAGGAGGAAGAAGAAGAAGAAACTGTGACAGCAGTGGAAAACTGCCAGAGGGAAATTGAATTGGGAGGTGATGATTCATGGGAAGATGTCACTACAAGTGGAAATGATAGTGCATGTGAAGAATTATCACCACACAGTAATATTGACTCCACAGTGGATGCCAAGTCAGCAGAATTGAATTCAGGCATGCTTCTGAACACAGAAGTGGAGCCAGAGATGGTTCGAAACACACAAGTGAAATCAGAGATGACTCAGAACACAGAAGTGAATTCAGAGCTGCTTCAGAATACAGAAATGAACTCAGAGATGGTTCAGAAAACAGAAGTGAAGTCAGAAATGTTTCAGAGCACAGAAGAGGAGCCAGTTATGATTCAGAAGTCACAGTTGCTTCAGAACATGGAAGCAAAATGTTCGATTCTTCAAAACACAGAAGTGAAGACAGGGAATCTTCAGAATACAGAAGTGAAGTCTGGAATGGATCAGGACATAGAAACAAACCGAAGTATGATTCAGGACACAGAAGTGAAGTCTGGAATAGAAGCAAATCCAGATGTGATTCAGAACACAGAAGAGAAGCCACGGAATCTTCACAATACAGAAGTGAAGTCTGGAATGGATCAGGACATAGGAGCAAATCCAGGTATGATTCAGAACATAGAAGTGAAGTCAGGGAATCTTCACAATACAGAAGTGAAGTCTGGAATGGGTCAGGACATAGGAGCAAATCCAGGTATGATTCAGAACATAGAAGTGAAGTCAGGGAATCTTCACAATACAGAAGTGAAGTCTGGAATGGGTCAGGACATAGGAGCAAATCCAGGTATGATTCAGAACATAGAAGTGAAGTCAGGGAATCTTCACAATACAGAAGTGAAGTCAGGGACACTTAGGCACAAAGAAGAAAAGATGGGGATGCTTCAGGCAGATGGAAGTCATTTAAATAGTGAATCAGATAATTGCATAGGAGTCTCAAAAGTTACTACAAACAGCAAAGTGCGTGGTACGATAATGCAGGAAGTTGCACAGGAGACTCTTATGTCTGAAAGAAGTACAGATTTTAGTGAAATCAAAGATGTTTCAGAAATTTACCTTGATAAAACTCATTCAGATATATTAGTTAAAACTAAGGAAGGAACTATGAATGAAACTACAGAACTAAAAGAGAAAGAAAGTGTACAACTTGTAACACACACAGAAAAGGGGCTGGAAGGAGAAATTGAAACAGGATCTTGGAATGGATGTGAACATAATGAGGGCCAAGGGAAAGTGGATGTTATTAAGACCACTGGAAGTGGATCATTGTCAGATAGTGTAGCAGCAGCTATTGTGCCTGAGGAAAAGCAGGAATCTAATATATAAATGGAGGTAAGAATGGCGTGTTTGTGACATCTGGCCACCAGACTGCTCTACCCACCTGTTCGTCCTCATGAGTTCACATAAAAATATAACTGTAAGGTATGTCCCATCTGAACTGGTAGTGCAGTTTTCCTTGCAGGCATTAAATATTTGCCGGTTTTAAGGAGGCCTGATGATGGTACATTATATGTAATATTACTGGGAATTTGGCCTTCCTCTGTTGTTCTGTATTCTGAAAACAGAATGTAATGTTTTCAAAACTGGATATATTTCTGTTTTCAGGTGATAAGGTCAGGCAGCATTTACTCAGTTGAGTCTGCTAGAAAGAACTGATCGCTTCATGAGTGATGGTGATCAGTATATTGGCCCATTGAATCCCCCCCTCCCTCCTTGAATGAACTTATCATGTCTGGGCTCTTCAGTAGCAAACAAAGTGGATGAGAAACAACTGCTTGTCTGCAATGTTATCACAATGTGGTGCCTCTTCTAAGAAATATATTGAACCACATAAAAGGAGTTTGATACCATCTTAATAAAATTCAACCATAAATACATGAATCTTCTAAAATAGTGGTGTTCCAAATTTTGATGGCCATCTATATTTTGTGAAGTCTTACTTCAGTTGATATTTTGATAGATCTAATTTTGTTGATATTTATGACTGATGTCTCAAGTGTATATTGAGAAATCTGCTTTGGAACTGGAGATATCTGTTTTGAGTGATATTTTGAGAAATGAAATCTGTTTGATTTGATATTTTGAGGAATTCTCTTTTTTTATTTGAAAGTGTTTAAAATCATATTTTGAGAAGTCTGTTTCATAATTTATTATTGTAATGGCGACCTTTGACACCAAAATTAAAATCTGTTTCTGTTAATATCTGGAGAAGTCTGTTTTATTCGCTTAGTTGAGAGGAATTACTACATTGGTTTCATATAATTTCAGAAGGGAAATTAATTGTGACAAATCATGTAAAGTTTTTAGCTACATAATGGTAATGAATATAGAGTAATTGTATGGAGAAAGCAAGGAAACAAGGAATTTCAGGGCAGAAGTAATGGATAATTTATATAAGCTGTGGATCCTCAAAGTAATGTTTCTCTATTTAAGGTTTTCCCTAATTTAGTGTTCTCTTCCATTTGGCCCAAATCAATATCAGTGTCTAGTTACCTATATGTAAAATTTTCCTCATTTTAGAGTTCCAATCCACTGCTCCAAGAAGGAAGCTTACTTGTGGGTTTCACTGTACTCTGTTGTATCATGGAATAATACTGTTTGGGAACTACTGCTCTGAGAACATGTAAAAGAATAGGAAAACTGGCATTGCAACTTAAATTTCAAGAGGAAATTCACAATGAATTTTCAGTAGGTGAGGGCTATTCTTCCTGAGCTGCAGCTCCTGCACACAGCAGCACCATGGACATGAGATCCAAGTTTCGTAATCGTCTGAACTGTCAATGTTACCGCTTTTAGTTCCATTCCCTCATAGTGTTGCATCATGATCACAAGCACCAGAACACAACACTGTACACTTTGTACTTACATATCTAACGTATTAACTCTGTGTGGGGAAACAGTGCATCTCTTGAAAATCAGATATGTTACATATTAGAAATTATTTACATGCTCCTTAGTACACTCTCCTGATTAAAATATGTATTTCAAAGATAGATACATACTATGATTAGATTTCACTTTATTACGAACATATCCTTCAATATACATGCTCTACATATATGCAAAATTAAATACAATTATTCAAACAATTTGCAGATTTCCCTCCGATGTAAATTTGACGGTACCTGTGTACCAACATCAGCATTCGGCAATACCCAGCCTGTGGTTTAAATAATATATACCCTACAATCAATTATAATAATAATAGGGATAGCGCACAATGTGCAAGTTTAGTCTTTACAGAATTGAGTTAATGATGTGGGTCTTTTGGCACATGCTAGCATATGGTATCGTTCACACTTGTTTCCACACAATTTGCATACACAGTGTTCTCCTATAACGAGGTGATTTTGCACACTGCATATCCTGTGGTGGAAGCCATGGACAACAGATCGCGTCATCAGAAGTCTGGGTGTAGTTTGCACACATTCATTCGGTGTTACCCATGGCGTCGGTGAAGTAGAACTCCGGCCATATTTCCTTCCTCTTAACATTTAGCTCCTGTAGGTCATCATAGGCCGCTGTATTTACAATCAATTATCGATTAACACATCTAATATTAGATGTATACAATATCTGTAGGCATATTTTTCAGTTAAATTTCTTCATATCCCCCGACGCAGGTGCGACATCATGGCTTCTACAAACGTAGATTTTAAACCACTTGCCAGATTTCCACAAAACTTGGCATGAATGTTGTGCCATTCAAGGCCATCGCACTGCCATAACTTTAAATTTACAAAAATCAGTAATATAAACACGATGGGCGGTCGAACTCGCGAGGTGGGAGTCAACAGCATCACACTACTGCGTATCCACCTGCGCACTTCCCTCCTAATTGGGGCAGTACATCCATAGCGCCATAGCTCAAGCGGATAGTCGCTAGCTTCCCACGACGGCGGCCCGGGTTCGATCAAGTGGGATTTTGGCGGACAAAGTCGCGCTGGGGCGAATTTTCTCCGGGTACTTCAGTTTCCCCTGCCAATCTTCAATCCACCAAATTCTCCATCATCATAATCATCCAGGGCAGGCTACAGTAGGTCAATCAGTGGCCGCCGTGCCGAATAGACGAAGCGAATTAAAAAAAATATCGCTTGAGCTATGGTGCAGCCTCCGCTCGGATGTTAGTCTACGTCTGCTCCGCACGAGAATGTATAAACTTACTCTCGGTTGCAGCTGTTCATATCCGAACATTGCACACAACAGCACATCACGTGAAATATATACAGTTCCGGTCGCTCTAGTCTCTAGTTGGTAACACTGAATGTCTAATTTGTTAAACATGGCGTATTCAGTGAATATATCCGTAGAGGCTCCAATTGAAAATCAAATTCAGGAAATTACTTACGATGGACAAGAAATTTATCAGACGTAAGTGACACGTATTAATTAATTTCGTCATTATTCGATATCGATTGAATTTTTTTGCGGCGAGACAAAGATGGCCATAGTGTGAGTCTGAGCATTTATTTGCGTCTAATGCAGAGGTTAAGACTCCGTTTAAATTAACACCCTCCCCCCACTTGTACCTTTATGGTGTGTGCCCTCCTAGTTATTTACGTCGGCTGTATCATGTAATGTAGTTTCTTATTGTTACTAAAGACACCTAACTGCAATCTGACATTAAACAAATACTATCAGAAACCAAATTTTGCTCCTTTTATAATTTTCTATTGATATTTATTCGAAATCGTGCGTTTTATAAGTATAACATAAGTGCTTTTGTCGTAACTGTTATCGGTTATAACGGGTTTCCTTTCGTATTTTCTCTGACAGGTTAACCAGTCAAATCCATGATGATGAGACTGATAAACCATTTCCCTGCGTCTATTTTATGTTTATTGGATATTTGTTTTGAATTGTTCACTATTTCAGGCCTTTGTCAATGTCTGAGAGTCTTGCGAAACTAGCACAGAAGATAGATTTCAGTAAAGCAAGTACAGAAGAGATAGTAAAGGAAGGTGCTGATCAGCAAGACAAAAATGATGAAGATTCAGCAACAAAGGAATCAGCGACATTCCAGTCATCTCTTTGGCCATGGGACTCTGTAAGGAATAAGCTAAGGTGCAGTAGCCCATTGATATTGAAGTGAAGCAGTAAGCTGGTTTCTTGAATAATATTGAAAGAGAAGCCAAATTAATCACATTTAAGGTCTTAGCATTGCATTATAGGGATATATAACAAATTATTACAAAGCTGTTAAACCAGTGTCATTTTAAGTGGTTTTTAGATCTCATAAATAAACAAGAAATAGTAAATGTGATTTTCCATCTGAACAGGAATGCCCTGACAGAGGTGTGTGTCCTCGCAGACGTCCTTGCAATTGCTAAGGAGAAGCGGTACATTGTGTTAGATCATGTCCCTCAGGATGCTTTGGAAACAAAACCAATGGTTCAGGTGTATGCACGCAAAAAGGTAATATTTTGTTTCTGTTTGACTCCTTTGTTATCTGTTTCTTGATTACTCAGTTGTTCAATTTATTTACGTTCTGTAAATCCAGATACAGGTGGACACCATAGGTTATGGAACAATTCAAATACAGTATAAATACAATAACAGTCTAATTGAAAAATTAATAAGATTACAAATTACGTAAATATAAGATAATTATACTTATGCATCACAATTTGAACCTGTTAACAGAAACAATGTCAGTGGGTACATCGCTAATAAGTAATAGGATTATGAATTATGTAAATACAAGTTAATTATACTGGTGTATCACAATTTAAGCCTGTTGTCAAAAACAGTGTCAGTGAGTACGTTGTTAATGGTTATAAAATATGTAAGTAAAATTAAAAGAAAGCAATCTCCATTCATACATTCATGCACAATCCATAGAGCCCCATAAAGGAGACCTGTGAATACAGTGATGGTATTTCAAATGAGGCCGGTCACGGTAGCCGAGCGGTCTAAGGCATGCACTGTCTTCGCTCTCTTGAAAGCCGGGATCGTGGGTTCGGATCCCACTCAGGGCATGGATGTGTGTGTGCGTTTTTCTGTGTTTGTCTACAGGTAGAGGCCTTGCGATGAGCTGATCACTCGCCCAAGGAGTCCTACCGTATGTGTAAGATCTAGAAAAACCGAAGTGAACGGAGTTCATGGAGGTAGGCCTGGGCCCACTGGGGCTGTAGTGCCAAGGAAAAAAAAAATTTCAAATATGATGTTGTACAATAGATGTAAATGACAAATAGGGAAGAATTTCTGCCATTTGCCAGTAAAGTCTAAGGAAAGTCATGAAATCCCAGGATACATGGTCCTGGATAGTGGTATGCCAGCCAGTATCTTGGTTTTGATGGGTGAGGCATTGTTTCCTGACATTGCAAAGTTTGCAAATGCACAGTGTTCCCTTGTATTGATAACTGGTTTAAGGTGTGTTACATGGTATTGATGTTAATGCTGAGTACTGATAGAGACTCTAAGGGCCACATGGTAGTGTAGTTAGTTGAGGCACTATGCTACAAGCCGGAAGGTTGTGGGATCAAATCCAGATGAGGTGGATTTTTTCAGTTTACCTAATCCTTCCAGCCGCGGTATGGCCTGGGTGTCGACTTAGCCTCTAACAGAAATGAGTACCAAGAATATTCTTGGAATGTTCTTGGGGGTAAAGGGCGGCGCATAAGGCTGACAACCTTACCGCCATCTATGAGCCGATCGTCTAGAAAATGTGGGAACCTCAACATTTCACAACCCTATGGGGCCTGTTACAGGGATACCTTTACTTTTTTTTTTTTTAACTGATAGTCTCGATGTTATTTGGTTTACAAGGACTGATCTAAAGTGCAGTAAAATCACAAGACATGAATGAGGAATACAACATGAAAGCAAAAGCAATTTACTCCACACATTCCTTCATTCTCATGAGCTTAATGGATGATTGTGAATTAATAGTTATCGTGTGCACCAAACAGACCTTTATTTGTGGCACATCAGTACCACTGTGAGAATATCATATCTCATAATTTATAATTCATGTTAGCCTCTGCATGTAGGCATCATAAGTTCTTTTCCTTGTCACAGGTAGTTTTATCCTTCAGAACACCTATTACATCGTGGAATCATTCTGAAGTTGCGTATGATTTTAGGCTCTGGCTGGTGCAGCATCTGTTCTTCTGGCAGGAGCTGAGAGATTGCGAGCCTCACAGAACGAATTGGCACGCAACCGAACCACACCTGATTTTCACATTGAGCTACTCCGACTGCGTCAGAACTGGAGGCTCAAGAAAGTCTCAAATTCCATCATTGGTGATCTGAGTTACAGGACAGGTGTGTGTTGTTATCTGTAGACACGGATCTGTGTGAAATCCTTTCTTTGCTTCTTTTTTCATATTTCATATTTATCTAAATTTTAGGAGGTAATGCAAAATGGGAGGTTATGACTTTTTGTTTCCACAGTTTATCCCCCAAAGCCATGTTATTGATTTAATTTAAATTTACAGTTGTGTAGGGTGGGAGTAATTAAAAATTGTAAAATGAGTTTTCTGATAGTCTTTGTTGATATTCTGTAACACTTACTTTATATTAAGTTCAGTTCAGACTATTGAATTGGTTTTAAATTGTTTGTTTTGCAAAAGAATGAATATGTGACATAAGACATGCCACTGTTTTTGTTGTTCTTTGCTGGCACTAGAACCCTGGGTCTCGGCCTTCTCAGTGATTTTGTAACAGTAAATTTTTCTGGGGTGGGGTAATAATCGACAAACCTAAGTACCAGGGTCAACGCTTTGGCCCACACCCTTAGACCTATCTGGCAGAGGTGGCTCTACCAGTAGCTTACTACACCGCCATGTTGTAATGTTAATAGCTGGTTCCAAGTATGCACAGACTGGGATGTTTGAAGTGACAAAGGCAGAGGAAGAACCTCAAGCGACTGGAAGTCCTCCCCCATCCCCTGGAGCTGGTGCAGCAGCAGGGCCTCCAAAATCAAGTTCTGCGCTACGAGTAACTGTACCCAGTGAGCTACAGGGGGTCGCATACATAGAGGTGCTTTGTCAGAAAGGTTAGTGTCAACCGTACATGTACAGTGGATGCCCCATTTGATGCTTTTAGTCACTTTATGTTTAATTTAAGTCATCCTGGATCTAGATTTTCAGTTCTAAATTTTTCTGTTTAAGATTTTCTCCAGTTTAGTATGCAGGTCCAGGGCTCTACAAAGAAATCTTAAAATTGGGGGGAGGTGTGTTTCACATTACAAGAGTTTATTTCTTTCTTCTTCTCTATATTCTTTTTTAATATATTCTCTGCCTCCTTTTATAAGGGATCCTAACATCTCATAGGTTCTCTGATCTCATATTTCATGATTTCAGTTCCAGTCTCATTCCTTTGGTTATCCCTTTTAATATTTTTCAGTTTGCTGTCTTGTCACCGAAATGCAGGGCAAAATCATGACATAAAGATAGCTAACAGGTGTTTTCAAAATGTACAGTTCAGATATTTGGGAACAGTTATGACAAATAAAAACCTGATTCAGGAGGAAATTAAGAGCAGATTGAATTCAGGTAATGCTTGCTACCATTCAGTCGAGAACCTTTTGTGTTCTCATCTGCCGTCTAAAAGCATAAAAATTAGAATGTACAAAACTATAATTTTGCCTGTGGTTCTGTATGGGTGTGAAACTTGGTCTCTGACATTAAGGGAGGAACACAGACTAAGGGTGTTTGAGAACAGGGTGTAGAGGAGAATATTTGGACTGAAGAGAGATGAAGTGACAGGAGGTTGGGAGAAAACTGCATAATGAGGAGCTTCATAACTTGTACTCTTGTCCAGTATAATTAGAATGATCAAGTCAAGGAGGTTGAGGTGGGCAGGGCATGTAACACGAATGGGGGAGACGAGGAATGCATGTAGGATATTGGTGGGAAAGCCAGAAGGAAAGAGACCACTGGGAAGAACAAGATGTAGGTTAGAGAACAATACTAAAATGTATCTTAGAGAGATAGGATGGGGTGTTATGGATTGGATTGATCTGGCTTGGGATAGGGACCAGTGGAAGGCTCTTGTGAACACAGTAATGAACCTTGAGGTTCCATAAAATGCTGGGAATTTCTTGAGTAGTTGCACAATTGGCGGTTTCTTAAGAAGGGCTCAGCTCCATGAGTGAGTGAGTGATATGAAATGGTAAGCTGGTTTTCTTCATTTTTTTCTTTTCCTTTACATTATCATATATAAATGTATTAACTATGTTGATCTGTTAGTAAGTCTCATTTAGGAAGTTTGTGGTTTGAGTTGGGCACTGGCAATCCAGACATATTTTTCATGGCTTTGTTCAATCCCTCTAGGATAGTGCCTTAAAATTGGCTAAATCCTCCTTTCTGCACATTTTACCGTTTCGACATCATACCATGCAGCAGAAGTTGATGTAGCATTGTAAAACAGCTATATAAACAAACAGTGATAAATGTGTATACTCTGTTTAGACCAGGAAGACCTGTGTAGTGCAACTATAAACTTGCTGGGCTCTGGCCCGGCTAGCACTAACCCTGATGTACACTGGCAGCAGAAATTAGAGGCAGCCCAGAATGTTCTGTTCTGCAAGGAACTGTTCAACCAGCTGGCTAAGGAAGCTGTTCAGTTGCAGGCGCCCATCCCGCATATGGTAGTCGGCAACCAGATTATGGCAACGGTATGTGGCCTTGTCAATACACGGAGTCTTCGTTTGCATTCTTTGTGATTATATTAATATTATTACTAGGGGCTCTGGTCCTCATACTCACAATCCATTAATGCGATTCAATGTTGAAAGACTGTTTCTTCATGAAAATGACAGAAACTGATGAAAAAGAGACATGTTGGCATATCCACCTATAGGCACTACCTGCAACTAGCATGTGCTTTGTGCTGTTGACATGTGTTACCATAACCTCATGCAGCATCGTTACAGATTAGTTGCATACAGATGTGTTACGATTTCGGTGTATTATATTATATTATATTATATTAATATTGTGACATGATGACTGCCTCTATGGTTTAGTTGTGAGTTCCTGGCTACAGATTCAGAGGTCCTGGGTTCGATTCCAGGCGCTACCAGATTTTCTGAGAAGTATTGGGTCTGGAATGGGGTCCACTCAGCCTCATGAGGGTAGTTGAGGAGCTGTTTCAAGGAAATAGCTGCTCCAGTCTAGAAAACCGAGGTTAACGGCTGTGGGGATCCGTTGCACTGACCATGTGACACCGTCTAATCTGCTAAAGTTGGCACTAACTTCGCCGACAAGTGGCGGTCACTCAGTCAGTATAGTTCACTTGCAGATACAGGCCACGGAGTTTGTGACATGACAGCTGAAAGTCAGAATAGTGGGACAAGTCAGGGTGGTCATGGCTAAACAGTAGGATGGTATACACATTTCTGCAGCAATGAATCAACACGCAATAATAGCGGAACTATTGAAAATGGTGTTTTCTCTGCAGTCCATGCCAAGTCTGTACGGGGTGTATCAAAACTCCATGGCAAAACTTCAGGAACGGACTCCTCATATAGAGAGAAGAAAGAAAGCGTATGACAACATGGGTCCAGAAGTGCATAATTACAGGGTTATCTGAGCATGTAATTTACGGAGTCCACACCGATTGGTGATTGTTTGTTGGGATCCTACGTTCTTCCGGACAAGCTTAATGGAAAGAACTACACAGATTTCTTGCTTATTACATTGCCTAATTACTTGGAAGACATGCCACTAGCATCCCGTCGACAGCTGTACTTCATGCATAATGGTACTCCCGCACATTTCAGTCTGTCTGCCCGCAGGCACCTTAATGCACATTATCCTGGGCGCTGGATAGGTAGAGGTGGACTGACTGCTTGGCCACCACGCTCTCCTGACTTAAACCCCCTGGACTTTTACCTGTGAGGACACTTAGATTCTGCCGTGTATTCAACTGCTGTTGCTGATGTAACAACTCTCCACGTGTGCATTGTGACAGCCTGTCAGACAGTACGCACTACACCGGGCATTTTTGTTTGTGTGCGGCACTAAATGCAATGATGAGTGGAGTCCTGTATTCAGGAAGGAGGAGGTCACTTTGAACATTTCCTCTGATACTTGACCAGAGTGTTCCAGCTGGCGTTACAGACGTATTCAGTGTAACAGTGCAACAGTGTTGGGAGTGTCGGATTGCACTAACATTACTAAAAGGTCGTATAACTCTGTAATTATGCATTTCGGGAACCATGTTGTTATACACTTTTTTCTTCTCTCTATATGAGGAGTCCGATCCTGAAGTTTTGCTGTTGAGTTTTGATACACCCTGTATAATGAGGACCAGCAGTTAACCAGTTCATGGGTTGCAAGCGAGCAGTGGCAGTTTGTATTTGGCCATGAGGAGTGTCCATTGTTAACAGCAGCTACCTAGCAGTGACTAATGATGACAGAATAACAAACAGAGGACGTTACACATGCTCTAGTTGTAGTGTGTAAATTAGTGACATTGTTCAGTTATTTGTATATTAGTTATAGGTGCTCAGTAAATCCACTTAACAGTCTAAACCTTTTGTATAGTCTCTAACACATGACAATATTGTTTAAATTCTCATGACTGCACTCTTGGAGAAATTGTTGAACTAGCGTCCTTTACTTTTTTCTCCAGTGTCTTTTACTCGTGTACCACTTTGTTCTGGTGTACAGAAATATCAGGTGCTTCTGATGGCTGCTAACCAGCTGGTTGTATGGAACACAGCTTGAGAATCATGTATAACTTAAGGTGACTTATTTCAGGTGCTGCCTGGAATCCAACTGATCATTGGCCTGTATCATAGCACCGGAAATGACAAGAAACCAAACCCGACACCTCCACAGAAATCTGAACATGATCACGTTTTGGAGCACTCACTACATCAGCTTCTGCGTGAGGTTCATCATAAGAACACACATCACCCATTTCCGCATCCCTCTTCAGGTCCAGTAGGACCAAGCAAGAAACGATGCTTAGCGGGACCAATGGCAGCTGACAGATATGAACTACTGGAGATGACTAAGAGGTACTGAATGAGTGTGCAGTGTTAGGGATTTGGCTTCAACCACAGGAAATCCTTACCCATTTCCTATTTTGAATGCAATAAAATTAAGAGGTCCTCTGTTGCACACGACCCCCACAGACACCATTAAAAATACTGCGTTTTCTCAAATACACCACAGCTGTGAATTTACCTGTACACCCCATTTTTTAAAACATAAAATAATTTGTGTAAATTTATTGACATTTCAAAGTATGTGTGAAGTATAAGGCCTAGTGCACACCTGCAATTTTTAGTTGGCTGATAGTTGTGCAAGTCACCGAGAAACATTGTGTTTAATGGGAGAGCGCATACATCACGATAGTTGTTCCAACAGTTGGTGAGCAGTTGGGTTCTACCTCCAAGTGTACTTGATACCAGATCATCTTGAAATTTGAACTCGGTTTTCTTATACTCAGAATTACTGGACTTTTGTACCTTGTCCATCATCTGGTATTCTAAAAAACTGGAGAATACAGGACAATGGACAAAGTCCAGAAACCCAGTAATTCTTATACACCATTGTCAGAACCATTTAGAATCTCAGTGTTGTTAGTTTATATCTGTTGCAGGGTTTTACTTCCCTGCATCTGATGTCCTGTAACTAGTGCACTGGAACTACCACTTCTCACATATCTGTAAAACTTTCTTCCTACATATTTCAGGATATTTCACTTTCTGGTCACGAAAAGTTCTGTCACTACCGGTGCTTTTCTGCATCAACTCTCTCTTCTTTCCACAGTCTGCTATGCAACCCTCACTAACATGTTTCCTGTCATCAGCACAATTATCAGTTTCTTTTGCATTATTCATTATTTTCACTTCTTCACTAATCATAATAGATCATAAACTTACTCTTTTAGCAGTTGAACCTCACAGATTAATATCCTCTTGTGTGGTATGGCTGTGTATGGTTGCATGGTAGATAGAGGAAGTTATGAAAATTAAGATGGCGTTTGGAATGAGTACGATTGCCAACCTTCTCATGATTAAGCTGCACACCACATTTTGTAGTCAGTTTCTTATAATAGAAAATTTTTGCTTGAGGTTTTGAGGAAATATGGTATAGGTCCGCTGGGGACACTGATTTTTCTGTCTACAAGTAGCAATTGTTTATGATAATGAAATGTGATTAACAGTTCGAAGAACGTAATAATTTTGACTGACATAGATGTCTGGCTTTGTGTTATTTATATTATAACCAGAAAAATTTGAAAGAGTATATAAAGAGGGAGACAGATTTGTGTGTGTTTGTGTGCAGTTTTACGCTGAGTTATATGACATTCATGTGCAGTATCACCAATTCGTTAGTTGCTACATACTTGTATTTACATAGAGGGATGGTTGTAATATAAACGATGATTCATAATGTTGACAAATGTGTAAAGTTGGCTTTCCCTTTGTAGACTATTCAGCATAGTTATGTTCTATGTTGCAGCCAGACACTTCTGGAACAGATAATTCAGCAGGCCCAACATTTTTTCATGCGTCTTCGTACAGAGTACGTGTTGGATACGATCGCGAAGGAAGTGAAGGACCCACTTATTGTATCTCACTGGAATGCTCTCAACTCGCCCACCCAGTCTTGTGTTAAGATCAATATAATGACACATGGCTACGATTCTGTTTATCGTACATCATTAGTTGTACATGTTGGTGAGAAGTCTCTGAAATGTGTGTGCCGGGATGGACGAGTCATGCACATGTCGTATGAGCCACAGGAGCTACGAGACCTCATATTCTGTCAGGTCAGATAAATTGTTGTGTAACAATATTATGCATGAAAAATGCATCATACAGTGATATCTCTCTTCCTGAAAGGCTTTTGTTTTCATATTAAATCAGTTCATGGTGGAACTTTCATAATCAAGAACAGATTAAGCTAAAAAAATGTATTTCGGAATATATCATGTCTTGAGTTTTGGGTTTCATTATACCAAGGAATAAATTATATTTTTCCCTCTAATGTCCCGCAGTTTATAGATTGGTGAACGGTTAGTTACTGATGTTCTGTTCTTCAGATTTACCAACACCAGATCACTGCAGTGCAGGGACTAGCCAAGTGCATGGGTTGGCAGTTTCTAGCGAATAGCACGCACCTCGGACTTGGGGCAGTGGAGCCGCTGGGCAATGCAAGCAGCTGTATTCTCGCTTCCCCAATAGGTGACCGGTGAGTCTCACAGAGCCTGGTACCATGACTAGATTTGTAATATTGGTTTCTCAAGTTTTAAGTTTGCATTTCATGGATGATGCTGTTTGATGTGGAGTGTACAGTCTTCTGGACCATAACACAGTGCAATTTGGGCAAAGCCCATTTTTTTTTTTTTTTTTTTTTGGGTGTTTNGGAAACCATCGGGAGACTGATGCAGTATGTTTCTTCAAAACACTGGACTTTCTCTGAACCGTATGGTGTTACAAGCCAGAAGACAGTACACTGCATAGTAACTACTGGGGAACCTCATGTACTTATTTTATCTTTATGATAACACTAAACATTGTGATCGAGTGGTCAGCACTGTGGCTTATTGTTTAAGGGAAGTGCAGATGTTAGTCTTGGCCCAGAGATTGGTATCTGAAGTTTTTCATTGTGCACTGAAATCCACATTTAAGATGTCTTTTGGGAACAGTGGATTTGAAGTTGATAAATACTTTAAATAACTCCAAATCAGTCACTAGGTATGCAGCGTGTTTGGTGGAACCTGCTGTCTCTAGCTTCACTCTTCTGCTCTGAAGATCGAAGCAGCAGGTGTATGTGAAACATAGGTACCTATTTACCAAGCTACATGGCATCTAACTGTAGACTGTCATATTCACTTAAGTCTGAAATGAAGAAAGCAAATTATGAAATTCCCCATTATGTGATTTTCTCCAGTTTTCTATTACTTTCTGTGTCTTTAATGCAGATAATCTCATCTGCTCCATGTTCTCAATCTTTTCTTTTTGATATTGTGTTGCAGAATTATTGCTGTGCGGTGTGAGCCTCAAACTGGTGTGCAGGTCGCCATTGCACAGTCACCACGCAAGGACTTCTTTCCAGGTCAGCTGGTAAAAGAGCGGAAATGGGAAAATCTGGGCGGAAGTTTCAAGGAAGTTCGGTGGGACAAAATGGAAGGAAAAAATTTTCTTAACAAGATGGAACTGCTGATGTCAAGTCTGACAAGTTCACAGTGAGCTGCTTATAAAATGCAATTGGATATGATACCAGACCAAAAGCAAATGTTGCACAGGGAAGTTGGCCTGTAGCAATCAGAAAGTATAGGTTTTTGTGACTGATGTTCAGATGATACCTGGTCACATGTTCAAGTTGGATGATAACATCACGGCCACTACGGTGCAGCGGTTCCGGCAGCAGCTCAGGGAGATCTCTATGGAAGGATGCATCAGCCAGTGTGTCAGTTAGATGCCTGCTTCGCTGCTCATGGAGACTGTTTTAATGACCTCTGCTCCTTTCACCAGAATAGTCCCTGAACAGGTTTCATTTGAACAACCTTCATAATTACATAACTAATCTTGTTATATGTAAATGTGATTCTGTAGATATGGATGAGTGTGTTAAGTGGTTGTTTTGTATTTATTATGTGCAGTTAAAATGTTGTTCTGTAATAATAGAAATATCCTTGTTCTGTGACCAACCAGGTTAGAGATGACTCCCTGAACTTAAAGATGAAGACATGATAATGTGCTGCCTTATCAGGGCCATTGCACATCTCTGGGGATGGTAGAATGGTGATCAGCAGAGAAATTTGAAGAAATTTTGAGAAAGGCCTGCTCCAACACTACTTCACCCCCCACGAATCTCATATGAAGTCACCCAGGATTGAACCCAGATTTCCACTATGGCATGATCGTCTGGAATAATAGTGTTGCAATCATCATGTGATGTTACACCGTGTAGTCTGGTAGATAGGTACCAACATTCTGGAGGAATATGCTGTTTCCATATTCGGAGTAGAAAAGTGAATGTTGAATTTTTTGCATTGAATAAAGCAGGAAGAGAAATTGTTTTTCCATTTTCTTCCCTTCCTCTCCTCAGTCCTAGTCTCTTATTCCTGCTAACCTCATCCTCCAGCTTCTTCTCTTTGAGGGGCAACTTCAGAATTGTTTTGTAGGGTGTGACAAACATGAGCAGTTGATATGGTGTTATAATAGATCAAGTAATAAATAAAGGAAGGATAGTCCTGGCTACTTGCAAGATGGTGCATAATACAAATTTAAATACACTGATTTGAAAACTGCCATGTAACAAGTCCCAAAATTTCTGTCTCCTAAATTTTATTGCATGGGAATTTTTACTGTATTATATGAATGTACTTAAATATTTATTGAAGTTAAATTCAAGATGTATTGTAATTTTGATGGTTGTATGAATGAAACTGTGTGTATGACAAATGGGTGTATTTTTACAAACCTATAATTCCAAAGTCTTAACTTTCTGATGTTCTCATGTGTTGTATAGAATTTCTTACTGAAACATAAGCTCTGTTATTTTCTGTTTCATTTATTTTGAGTCAGGTTTGTATATAATTTTTTTTAAATGTTCTGTGTATTTGAATTTTCAGCATACAGCAGATTGAGGTGATGAGAATTCTGTACTCCAAAATATATAAATTAATGTATGCTACTGTCAGTACGTTTCACAGTCTGATCTGTTGCTCTTGGAGTATTTTAATATGAGGCTCCTGTGATGTTTTAGATCTCAAAATGTATGAAAATTGCATAAAATGTGATTTAGCAATTCAAGAAGAAGGTCTTGGAAGAACTGATCACCTACTTTCCTTTTGCTACATATTTAATATGTGAGATGACATGGATTGCATAGAAAACACCACACCCAGCAGTTCTGTTTTATGTATATATTCATTTATCCCGGAATGTGTTTGAGTTTTGCCTAGCAATGACCGTCTTTTCTGACTCCATTATTACAGCTTTCAGGCTTTAGAGTGGGACACACAGACAGCAAGGTGATCTCATAAGCCTTTTATTTTTTAAAAATAAGGAAAATAAATACATTTACTAATGAACCCTAATTGTGCCTATGAAGTACTTTGTTCTATTATACTGTGTTTTTGTAATTTAACCTAATCTTTTTATGCTGATTTAGTAATTAGACTGTTGGCATTTTTGGAAACTCCCAGGAAAAGGCTTCAAAGCCTCCTTTGGGGTTGCATCTCCCACTTTGGACAGATGATTCAGTCCATTACGGTACACAGAGACGTGAGTGCACAGTCAAAACGTAGTCAAATTGTTCGTATCTGTCATAGTGATACAGTATATATAATAATAATTGTCAAGTATTTTTGATATGTCTACGCTTACATATTGGTGCCAATAGTAGGCAGTGCTACCACACAGGCTTTCCTACTACACAGTGGGATTGTATAGACCTACAAGTTAAACCAATTTGTGAGACAGTTGTGGACGGTGTAACAAATTGAGCTTTGTACTTTCCATGTGTCCACTTCTTACATTTTGTCTCAAGCAGCTCTCACAGTTTTGTCATCTCTGATATGACTTAGGAATTGAAAGAAAATGTTGTGGATCATGAAATATTTCACTCCACATTATATTCTTGTCATTTTCCTAAAAGAGTGAAATTTTAAGGTAAAAATATAAAAATATGCATTTTCATAGCCCGGTGAATGACATTAATGGTTATTTCTTGATGCAGATTAAAGTTGAGTGTTAAACTACATGGTAATATGCTTGGTAGACTTAGACGAATATCACAGCAGTACGGTTAACCTGCAGTTCTACGTAACTAACCCTGAAAACGGATGTTACGCATTCAGTTTGAATGGGGACAGAATAATAATATGCTGGAATCAGATGGGAATGGGTACCAGGGGCTTTTTCTGTGGAGTAAAGCAGCTGGGGCATGAAGCTGGCAACTCACCTCTATCTAAGGCTGAGGTTGAGAAAGGTGGAGCTGTACCTCGACTCCCACATGTCTTCATGGTGTCAGCTTAATTAGTGAGACACAAGGACATCCTCACCTTTGCCATCAGATTGGAAGGATAAATGAGTCATTCCAGTACTAAGGAAGACCCACTGAGCAAATAGTATGGTAGCAATTACAAGCTATAAGGAGAATGGGCAGTCTGCAAAAGTGACTTTATGAGGACATGTCTGTGTAGTTTGATAGATAGTACAAGTGTTTAGCGAAAATGGAGGTAGCAGACTGTACCGTGTCAAAAGCTGACATGACTAATTGATATGTCAGTTGCATTTGGTACCCACTTCAATTGAAGAACACAGATAACGTAAGATTGCTGAAAATAATTTATTAATAATCCAATGCAGCAACAAAGAACAAGGCAATCTACAATGTACACAGACACAAAGAAAATATGTTTGGACCCATTTCAGAATATATTTGTATATAAAGACTGTGCTTTTACTCCATGTCTGGATCCCTTATGATGCGTTTTATAAAGGCAATAAGTTTACTTATGGATGCATCATGCATGTAAAGGTTTTGTGCAAAAAGACTATATGGAAATCAAGACTTTGTTACGATTTCACACAACCATGGCAGACGCTCTGATACAGCGATAATGACATCTTCAGCTATAGCATTGGCGAATGCAGTTTTAACTTACAGCCACTTAAAATTAATCAGTTGTTATTTCCAACACACTTAAAGAAAGCTGAGCTCCCTTTTTAGGCCAAACCTTTGGAATATTCATTTGTAAAGCTGTGGTAAGTGGTGCATGTTATTTGCTGTACAGATCCATAAGCATTACTTTGGAGTGCTAAGTAAGTATGTGCTTATTAGAATATTTTCCAGACCAAATTTAATTGTGCTGATGTTTGTAAAGTTAATATGATGTGTCAGAGGTGCTGCACCTTACATCAGAAGGGGTAAATGTAGACTGTGTATGTAGATGATATATATACAGTGTCCGTCTTGCAGTACATCCACTTTTACCTGTCACTTCACAACATGTTTCGGCACCATAGTGCCATCATCAGGTGCTCCATTTACACTAATCTATTGCATTGCATGCCATTATGTCAATGTAAAATTATTTAAAAAGTATTTTAAAATATTCGTCAGTTATAATAA